CACGCGCGTGCTGCCGGACGACAGCGCTGCGACGACGACGCTGGCGCCCGCAACGGACGACTATGACCTGGGGTCGCTCACGGCCAACACGTGCTACCGGGACCAGCCGGCGGGCGCAGGGTGCGAGCGGAACCAGGAGTGCGCGTCGATGCAGTGCTCGGGCGGGTTCTGCTGCGACGACAGCAAGTACTCGAGCGCGTGCACCAACTGCACGGCAGACGGCGGCGTGTGTGGCGGGTGCGAGTATGGGTACGAGCTGAACGAAGGGGCGTGCACGTTTCTGAACGTGAACGGCGCCGTGTGCGCGGCGGATACGGACTGCGCGACAGGGGTGTGCCGCGGTGGCAAGTGCTGCGGCCCAAAGGGGCGGTCCAAAGGGTGCCTGGCGTGCGACTTTGATGGCGAGTGCGCCACGTGCGACACGGGCTACATCAACATCCTCTCCGAGTGCTTCAAGGACACGTCCACCAATGGCGGCGGCAGCACGGATGGCAGCAGCAACAGCACCTACGCCAACTCCACCATCATTGCTGCGTCGGTTGCTGGTGGTGTTGCCTTTATCATGGTGTTGATGGTGGCCATTCGCTGCATCGTTGCAAAGCGCACCAACAGCGACGAGTGAGTGAGTGTGTGTGGGGGGGAGAGAAGTGTGCTTGTGTATTCGTGTGTGTTGTGTGTCGAAAGAGTGAGTGAGTTGTGTGAGTGTTGAGTTGTTGGGTGTGACAGTCGTCAAATCATGTGTCGCAAAACGCATCTTCCTCTTCTCACCCGTGTTCCACAACTAAGTGCCCGGTCGGATGCCTGCCTGATTGCTTCGTTTGCCTTTTTTTTTGTGTGCGATATGCGCTTTGTCCTGTTGCGTAAAATGTTGCTGACTCAGGTTCTGAGTCAGCGTCAGTGCGACCTGTCCGCTGTCAACCCCACAAATTTTGGTGTGAGTCACGTTGTTTGTTTCGCACGAGCAATGGCTTGAAATACGCATTGGTGGATATGTTGTTTACATTTCACCACGTTCACTGATTGGGTGTATTGCTCGGTCCGTGGGTGGTTGCATCGCAAAATCTCTCAGCACGAACCCACAAAGCAGTGCGAGAGAAAGAACAAAGGGAAACAAGCAAGCAAGGCAAACAAGGGGAACAGCTGGCCGTCGTTTCTCTCTGTTGCTTGCTTCTTTTTCGCCTAATTTTGTGTGTTGTCGTCGCTTTTCCCGTAACCATTTTCATTCCTTCCCTTCTCGAGAGCAAAACGCCAACAGCAGCAGTTGCAGACGAACAGCAAGCGCTCGCTTCCCCCCTCGCCTTCCCTTATCGCTGCTGTTCTTTTCACCTTGTCGTCAATTCCTCCCTTCCTCCCTTCCTCCCTTCCTCCCCTCCCTTCCTCCCTTCCTCACCACCACGGACAACGATGGCCTCCTTTGCTCCTCGCGCTGGCTCGCCAGCCATGTTTGAGCTGTTTGACGATGCCCAGATGATGTCCTCGTTTGGCGACCTGCTGGACCTCGCCAGCTTTGACCTCGACGTTGCCCTCCCCCCAACAACAAGCGCGCCGATGGCGACGCCAATCACAACAGACACCACCACCAGCAGCATCAGCAGCACTGACGTGTGTGTGCCGCACATGGACAGCATGGACCTTGCGCTCGACAGCCTCGCCTCGGTCGGCAGCACCGACGCCGACTTGGACAGCGCGCTTGACAGCTATTTTGCTGGTGAGGAGCCCGCCTACCCGCCGCTCTCCACGCTCAACTTGGAGTCGTTGGCAATCGTTGGTGGTGCACCAAGCTCGCCCGCGTCGTCGTCCACCATCAGCGGCATGCGCATCTCCACGCCCTGTTCTCCCGCCGAGTCGGCATACACGTCATCGTCGTCGTCGTCGTCGCCGCCGTCTGCAGCCGAGGCGTGGTCCACAATGGCCACCACTTGGTCCTTCCACGGCCAGGGCAACAGTGTTGGCGTCGAGGCTGAGGCAGCTTCAATGGCGCCTCCATCTCCGATGTTCGCGTCTGTGGCGTCGTCTCCACCAGCCTCGTCTGGCTACTCTTCGCCTGCGTCGTCGCCTGTGCGTCGCCAGTCCACACCGCCAGCATCGCCCGCGGCCGACAAGAACCAGAAGAAGAAGACCAAGACAAAGAAGCAGAACCGCCAGCAGCAGCAGCAGCAGCAGCAGCAGGGCATCGCCTGCACGCTGAGCGCTGCGGAGGAGCAGCTGAAGCAGTGGCTGTGCACGCACACCCGCGCCGGCGGCATCACCACGGAGAATGTGATGGACCTTGTTGCCCATGACGGCAACCGCATGGCGCCCGCCCGCAAGAAGGACCGCTCCAGCCCCAAGAACGCGTTCTTCTTCCGCCTCGCTGCGCTGGACGTTGACAAAATGACGTTCAAGGCCATCAAGAAGACGCTGGCCCGCCTTGACCGCCCGGACAGGAGCGCGCTTGTCGAGCTCTACGTGGACGAGCGCCGCAAGGTGCAGAACCAGCGCTCCCAGGCCAAGAAGCGCGAGCAGGAACGCATGGGCGTCAACACGCTCAAGACGAACAACATCAACCTGCGCCAGGCTGTCGCCGACGCCGACACGCAGCTCGCTGGCCTCCAGCTTCTGCTCACCTCTGTCCTCCGCGCCAACGGCCAGGTGCCACAACAGCAGCAACCGCAACCGCTTTGCTGCTGAAGGCACCACGCGTGTTTGTTTGTGCTTGCTTGCACAAGCAAAACACCCGAAACCCGCCCCCCGAGACTGATCGGATAACCGACGTCTCGATTTACCCCTTTTTTCTTTCACCCTTGAACGCTTGGTGTGAGCTGTTGTTGCTTTTGCAAGACACGGTTCCTCCACGCGCCTTTTTCCCCTTTGCTCTTTTTTCCTCGTGTGTCCTGTCATTGTTGTTGTTTGTGTTTGTCTGTGTTTTGTTTCCGTTGTGACGACGACCGTTCATGTCATTTAGCCCTTTTCTTTTTTCCTGCCTGCCCTTGCTTTGCCTTTTCTTTTTCTTTCTTTCTTTTTGTTGCCTGCGCCTTGCTCTGCTTTTCCTAACTGCGTTGCCTCCTTTTGCAGCTGCACTGTTTTTGGCAGTGAGATGACATGATGTGCTTGGTGGTTCTTGGCGCGCGCGCACGCACCCCCAAGACGCTTTGCGGCCCTTTATTTCGCTCGTGTGTTGTGGGTTTTTGATGCTCGGTGTTGTTTTTGTGTGGGGGTTCTTCTCTGATAGGTGCCCGTTTTTCTTTGGCGCACACTATTGCTCAAGGAGAAGTTTCCATCCACCCACGCAAACCGCGCAGTCCCCACTTGACAATCACTTGACATGCACACACTGCGTGCGCCCGCCATCCCCTCTTCATCCATCGTGTCTCTTGTCTGCCTTGTGTTGCTGTTGCTGCTGTTGTTGCTTTCAACGCGCCAGAATACATACATCACTTAAATTGAACCCCCCATGACATTGTCAAGTGTAAACGCTGAGGAATGGAAGTGTGGACGTGGGTTGAGGGGGGAAAGGAAGCACGAAACAACAAGTGAAGCAAGAGGGAATGCTGTGAGAACACCGCCACTGTTGTCCTCAAACACAGCTTGTCCACCATCATATCCGACACCCCAAGACATGCTGTTGCAACCTGCGGCCACGCCCCCGATCGCAACGCCACCCTTCAATTTTACTTTATTGTCTGAAAATTGGCCAATCAGAGGCAACCAAACGAAAACAATGACACCATCGGGTGACACGACCATTGTTTTGCCTTGTCGTGGTTTGGTGGCGAAGGAGGGCGGTGCGCGTTGTTGGTTTGCTGTTGTTGCAGACCGCCCAAACACATGCACGCACACACAAACACAAACAAAGCAGCCTCGCACACAATGGCACAACACCCGAAAGCAAGCAAGCAAGCAAGCAACCTGATGATGACGACCGCTGCTCTGCAGCTACTTACTTCCTGACACACAGAGCACCCACGCCACCACGCAACACGCACAACACACACCCTCAACAAGGTCCATTTTCCAAACAAGCTGCAAGGTCAGTTATTGTCTATGCGTGTGCGGCGTATGTGTGTGTGTGTGTGTGTTCGTGCCCGCAACTGTCAGCGTGAGTGCTATCCCCGCTCCCCACCTCACCCGCTCCCCACCTCATCGCACCCACACGCATGATTTTGATCACACGCACCCACTCCTCATCGTCGCTCACGTCATCAACCCAATTGCACACAGACCGTTATTCAGACCACCAGCACCCACAGCACTGCTTAGCTAGCTGGCAACCAAGCAAGCAAACCGACAGGAGGTTTCAAACGCTTCTTTAATTCCCCCTTGCGGCAAACGGCACATCATCTCAAACGCTTGGCACGAACCAACAACCCCACGAACAGCCACACACCATCAGCAACACACACACACACACACACACACACACGAAAGTCCGAGGTTTCATGACCGCTTTCCTCGCTCAAACCCGCGTGTCCATTGCTGATCGCCAGCTCCCATTCATCCCATCCCATCCATCTATCCGCACTGAGTGACCATTGTATCACTCGCTAGCTCGGCTTCTGACTCTCTCCTCTCGAAACCCATTCATCGCGCGTTTGTTCGCCCTTGCTTCATCCTTCATTCAGCCCTCGTCCCCGTCCCCCCCTCCTCGCTCTCTCTGTCTCTCTCTCTGCTCCATCCCTGTGCTCCCTCTGCTTGCACACACATACGCGCCCTCGATTCAGCGCACAACAGTGTTTGATTCGAGGTGCAACCCCATTCAGCAGCCCCCATTCATGCATTGATCCCTTCCATTCAAAGCAATCGGGCTCGCCAACCAATTCCCCCTCAACTCCAAGTTGCTTGCATTAGTCAATCGCCTTCCCCTCTATCCCCACTTCCTCCCCGCAAGTCTTGCCTTCCCCCCACCCTCAATTTCTCTCTCCTTCTCCACCCACGCTGTTGCATTTCTCCTCTGCCCTCATTCGCATCCTGCCCGAGTGTGGATTCCACCCGCGTCGCTACTCCCCGACAGTTCATTTTCTCGCCAAGGCAGCACACCCGCCCAACCACACCCCGAGTCCACAGCACCGCCCAGCCCCAATTCCACCGGCCCCCACGCACACACACAGAGGCAACTGAACGACCGCTCCTCCGCCGCCGTCATCTTTCATCCGTTGTCCGGACAGAGGAGTACGCACCTTCCATTCCGCCGCCGTGCACAACGCCTGCCATCGCACCCACCACCAACACCAGCAGCACCAGCAGCTCAACTCACGACGGCAGCACTGCTCTTCGTCTCATCGTGCACTCGTCAGTCATCCCTTCCGTTTGACACAGCGAGCTGCACCCGCCAACGACGCACATACACACATACACACACGCCCGCGCCTGGAACTGGCCCAAGCTCTCGCGGCTGCCCTCTTTCTGTTCCCCCCCCCCCCCACTTTTCCCTTGGGGCAGCCTGACTGACCGTGTGTCTTGTCTGGCTGACTGACTTGGCTGACCGGCCATCGGAGCACCAGCCAGCCCCAACCACCACAGATACAGTGTCACGGCTGCAACTTGCTTGCATGCATCGCCATGAAGATGCAGTCCCCTCCAGCAGCAACAGTGGCAGCACCCCCACAAACACAGCAGCAACAGCAGCAACACGAACAGTACCACCCCCACCAGCACACACACCAGGCGTCCGTGAACCCGCCTTCCTCCCTCCACCAAAGCACCAAGGACCTTCAGACCATGCTGACTGCCCACCCATCAACGCCGACATCAACCGTCGTCGCCTCGGCCGCGTCCACGCCGCCCCATAGCCCTTCCCCGCCAAGTGCAACCGGCCACGATGACACCGCCGCCACCCCAGCACCACGCGCCTCCCCCGATGCACACCACCAGCAACAACAACATCAACCGCAACACCAGCAACAACACCAACCGCAACACCAGCAACAACAGGAACAACAGGACCAGCAACAACAGGAACAACAGGACCAACGGCACGCGCCAGAACCGCGTCTGAGGCAGCGCGGCAGCAACGCCTCTGCTTCCTCGCCATCCCCAACACCTTCACCCTCTCCTGTCACACGCACATCCTCCTCAGCCACAACCCACACTCCAAACACCACGCCGCCAACTACAACAACAGCTGCTGCAACAGCTTCAGCAACTGCATCCAACGCCACGGCCGCCGCCAACAGCGCCAGTGGCGCGCGGTGTGTGTCCTCGTCAACCCCACCGCCGGCTGGGTTCGCGTCATCCCCAACAGTGGCAAGGGATCTGTACACCAAGTTTCCACCGCCCCCACAGCCTCCCCGCCGCCCTGCTGTGCACACCAGCGACGCCACCACATACGAGGCTGCAACAGCAACAACAACAGCAACAACAGCAACAACAACAACCGCAACTAGCACGGCAGCCCCTGCGTCCCTCTTTGCCACAACAACACCAACACACGCACATGACGGCGCGTCCCCGACGTCGTCAACAGGCTGCCCATCGTCGTCACAGCCCTCATCGCCACTGGCCACGGCAACCACCCCAACACCCATGCACACGGGCAACATCGCTGTGGCGTGCCGCCCCCAACCCGTACACCACCTCCACCACAACAACAACCACATCCAGCTGTCCTGTGCCCCGCACAAGCCCATGATGCTCCCACCTCCACCTCCTCCTCCACCACCTCCAGCCTCCACCGCCACTTCGTCCCCATCATCGTCGCCGCCAACCAAGCGCCGCCAGGGCTGGACCTCCGTGTACCAGACTTATGTCCCGCCAAGCACATGCACTAGCGTACCCACGATGGTGGCGCAGCTGCCGCTCCGCTTCTCCTTCAGCATCGCCAACAACACCACGGCCACCACTGCTGTGGTCCCGCTGCCTGACCACGGCCACAGCGGGCCAGACGATAGCAACGACAGCACTGACGGTGACCAGGACCACCACCACCACCACCACCACCACCACCATCAACCGTACAATGATCAACACCACCTCCTCCATCAACACCAGCATGACCACCACCACCACAGCAACAGTGATACCAGCATCACCACCAGCTACGTTCACCACAACCCGTTTGCATGGAACATCCACACCATCAACGGCAACAGCATGGACAACAACCCACACAAGCGCCCAAAAATTGGCGACTACTATGGCCACGGTCATGACCACGGTGACAGCAACGACAGCCACGCGCACCTCCAGCAGCAGCAACAGCTCACTGCCGGTGACACGCCGTCACCAGGCCCACCCCAGCAAGGGCCCTCGTACCACCACCACCACCAACAACAACAACAACAACACGCGTCACCACTGCATGCGCACTCCGGCTCCACCACAATCCCTTCCCCGCCCCATGGCGTGCACCGCGGTGACCACCCACACGCTGGTGCCTACCACCATCCACTCGAGTCACACCACCACCAACACCAACATCGCCATCACCATCAGCATGAGCACGACGCGTGCAGCAGCCCCACCACGCACGCCGCCGACCTGCTTGCCTCCACCAACCCGCCGTCCGCATCGGGCACGGCGTCGTACCCCTCGTCTGCCTCGTCGGGGTGCAGCTACCAGGGCCACGTGCACGGCATTGCAGCTGCACCCTCTGCTGGGTGGACGCCACCACACGTGCGGCACGGCAGCTCCCCGCTGTCGTCATCGTCGCCAGCGACAGGAACGCTAACAACAGGAAAAACGTCACGCACACAGGCAGCCTTGCCCATCCTCCCGCTCACGTCCACCACGCCCGGTGAGACGCGACACGACGAAGACAGCCGCCCACGTGACGCGGATGAGCGCGGCAGCGGCCGTGAGCGTGCAGCCGATTCGCATGGCAACAACGACGACCATAACGACAGCAGTAACAACAACAGTAACAGCGGTAGAAACGCCGCCACGAACGGCAACCGACGCGGGGGCCACGCGCACGGCGGCATGGCAACAGCACCCTCTGGCGCCGCAGACACAACACACGCATCCGCGATGATGGCAGCTGCTCGAGGAAGAGGCGGAGGCGGTGCGGGGATAGCACGACGGAGGCCAGCAACGCCGACGTACGCGTCAGCCACCGACTTCACCGCCCACTTGCAGTCGCTCTTGGAGACTGACATTGGTGGCACCGACGCCAACAACGGGGAGAGTGGGGAGCCCACGTCCACGCCAACAACGTCGGCACACGCCACAACCATGTCGCCGGGTATTGCTGGTGGCAGCGGCAGTCTTGGAAGGGGCCGCCATTACGGCAGTGCCAGCGGCCACGGCACGCTGCTGGACGCAACCACGCTCGACCCTAGCCTGCTTGAGCTCGACAACCCGTTTGATACTGTGTCGGGGGACACCGTGTCCATGCTCACGGGTGCACACGCCGCCTTGGACGAGCACACCTCGTTGCTCCGCGACCCATACACCCCGCGTGATGTCCGCAGCCCACGCCGCACCTCCTTGTCCTCTTCCTCCGCCACGCTGGCAGAGCTGCTGCACCACCAACACCACCAACACCACCAACACCACCAACACCAGCACGTGCCCGGTACCGCCGCGCACGCCGTGCCACTCATCCCATCGGATGCGTCGGCATCCACAGCAATGCCCGCCACCGCCTCTTCTCTCCGCACCGGACACCACCCGCTCCATCACACACAGCAGCAGTCACACTACCACCCCCAGCACCACCACCACCACCACCACCAGCATCGGCTTGGTGGCACACCGCCACCGCCACCATCGTCGCGTCTGCTTGCGTCTGATTGGCCTCTTTCTCTCTCTGGCCGCTCTCTCGCTGCGTCCTCCGCGCTGGTTGAGCCGGCGAACATGCACGGTCGCTTCTCGCCAGGACGACTCTCACCGCTGCCGCCCCCACCACCGCTGCTGCTTCCCTCGCAGTCGCAGCCCCCACCACCGTACCAGCAGCCTCCAGTTGGCGGCGGTCGTGGCCGTGGTCGTACCCGCAAGGCGCGCGCGCTCCCAGGCGCATCCCCGTCACCGCCCTCACCGGCATCGACTTCGACATCGGCACCATCATCAGCCCGGCGGCGACAGCAGAAGGGCACGCGACGCAGCGGTGCACGTCTCGGCAGGAAGAGCAACGGCAAGAGTGCCAGCGCCAAGACAGGCAGTGGCAACGGCAACGATGGCAACGAGGAGGGCCTCCCGCCGTATGTGAATGCGCCTAAGCGAAGGTCACGGCAGCCGCGCGACGATGGCCGGGATCGCCCGTACGTGTGCCCGCACCCGGGCTGCGGCAAGCGGTACATCAAGAGCTCCCACCTCAAGACGCACCTGCGCTCGCACTCTGGGGAGAGGCCGCACGCGTGCACGTTTGAGGGCTGCCACTGGGCGTTTTCGAGAGCAGACGAGCTCAAGCGACACATGCGCACACATACGGGAGCGCGCCCGTACAAGTGCAAGGTCTGCCAGCGGTGCTTCACACGCAGTGACCACCTCTGCGCACACATGAAGACACACGACCCAAACAAGCCCACACGCCGCCGCAAGAAGCAGGCGGCGGGCAAGGACAAGAAGAAGAAGTAGTGTGTATCTGTCTGTCTGTCTGTTTGTTTTGGTTTGTTGTTTGTTTGTTTGTTTGTGCTGTCGTTTCTTCCCCCCCCCCTCTCCCCCTCCATGCGTTGGTTTCCTATGCAACCCCCGACCCCGACCCCCAATTTCAGACCATGTATTGAGTGGCCGTAGTTGTTTTCTGTTTCTGCTTGCATGCACCCCGACCAAGGGTGTAACTTATCCCTTGTGCTGGGTGCTGTCAGTTTTCCCTGGGCACACTCGCACATACGTGGCTTGATGCGAATCGGTTTGACGTGTCCCCTGTTCTGTTGGCTTACTTGACCCTTGCCATATATCTCCTGTTTAACTGACTGACCTTCACATTGATATAAAGACAACAGAACCACCAATTACACTGCACACGCTGGTGTGACGCAGCAACAAACAAACCATCTGCGCATCAGAAGTACAGACAGCACTGCCCTGATGCACATTGAACCAAGAAGCACAAAAAACAAAACAAAGAAAAAACAAACCAAGGAGTGATGTGTAACATTACGTGATGGAGCTGACATCATGAACGTAAACAGCCTGCATACCTTGGGTTGATTGGATCGGGTGCACATCTGGCACGCAAGCATCGTGTACACATGCACTCACAAACACACACGACCACGCACTCGCTCAAAGATACACATACACGCACTGGCTCAAGCTTTCACAAAGCACACGCCTACCTATGCACTACCTACACCCTTGTCACTGCCACCATCTCTCACACACCTCTCCTGGGGCTCCTCCTCCAGTCCTCCCTTTACACATGTGCGTATGGCGGGGTGGCACTCAGCTCAATTCAGCTCAGCTCAGCTCACACGAGGTTGAGTGCGAGCACATCCCACAGGCCTTGGTTTGTGTTGGGCGCCATGCTGCCCTGCGTGGAGCCGCAGAGGACAATGCTGGTGGTGATGGTGCTGTTGTTGTCGTCGGCAACACGCGTGATCCCTGCACCCGTGTCAGAGTCGACGGTGCCCAGCTGCTTGCTCCACACCAGCGACCCCGTATCCCCTGCCAGTCTCAGCACGAACATGTCTGCCAGGCCCGCGTGCGTGTTGCCGAGCAACGCTCCATATGTTGAACCCGTGACAATGACGGAGCCGTCGCCATCGGCGATCGCCTCGTATGCCGTGTCGGCTGCTGCCGTGCCAAACTGCCTCGCCCACGACACTGTGCGCGCGCTGGCCGAGCTGTTGTTGGCCGGATCCTCCAGCCGCAGCACAAACACGTCAGATGTGCCTGCGTTGGCCACGCCCGTCTCCAGCGACCCGAACGTGTGGCCCGTGAGGAAGATTGCCTCGTGGTCGCCACTCATTGACACGCCATAGGCCACGTCTGTGCCACTGCTGCCATGCTGCCACGTCCACAGCACAGTGCCGTCTGCGCCGTCCAGTTTGGCCACAAACATGTCGCTGCCACCAGCAGAGGCCTGCCCCGCAAACGCGCCGTACGTGGAGCCAGCCACATACACGTCGCCAGTCGCCGGGTGCACGTACACGTCACGGCCATAGTCAAAGTCGGACGTGCCAAACTGCACCACCCACACCAGCGCGCCCTCGCTCGTCATCTTGGCGGCAAATGCGTCCATGCTGCCTGCGCTCGCCTGCCCAATGAAGGAGGCATCCGTGTAGCCAACGAACACGACGCTGCCATCGCTGCCCACGGCGACACCGCGCCCCAGCGCCTTGGCGCTGCTGGTGCTGCTGCCGCTGATGGGGATGGCGGGGAACTGCTTCTGCCACACGAGCACATGGCCAGTCGTCGTGACGTTGAACTTGTACAGGATGACAGCGCTCACGGATGTTGACGCGGCGCTGCTGCCGACCACATATGCGACGGCGTTGCCGCTGCCGTCGACAAAGGTTGCCACGTCTTGGAAGCCCTCGCTGTCTGCGCCGCCGTGTTGACTTGAGGCGACAAGCGCGCCGCTGCTGCTGTTGAGCTGGAGCACAAACGCATCCAGCGACCCGCCGTTGGCTGCGCCGGGCGTCGTGTCCACCACGCCGTATGTCTCGCCCACGAGGAACAGCATGCCACGTGGGAGGCTGGCGATGCCGCGCCCGTAGTCTGAGCTTGCGCTGCCGTACTGCCACACAATGTCCACCTCTGGTGCCGGAACCGTGGTTGCTGTTGTTGTTGTTGTTGTTGTTGTTGTTGTTGTTGTTGTTGTTGTTGTTGTTGTTGTTGTTGTTGTTGTTGTTGTTGTTGTTGTTGTTGTTGTTGTTGTTGTTGTTGTTGTTGTTGTTGTTGTTGTTGTTGTTGTTGTTGTTGTTGTTGTTGTTGTTGTTGTTGTTGTTGTTGTTGTTGTTGGTGTTGTTGTTGTTGTTGTTGTTGTGGCTGAGCTTGGAGTGAATGATGTTGCTCCTGATGACGCCACCATGGAAGTGGTTGCAGCTGTTGTTGTTGAGAATGATGTTGCTCCTGATGACGCCACCATGGAAGTGGTTGCAGCTGTTGTTGTTGAGAATGATGTTGCTCCTGATGATGCCACCATGGAAGTGGTTGCAGGTGTTGTTGTTGAGAATGATGTTGCTCCTGATGACGCCACCATGGAAGTGGTTGCAGCTGTTGTTGTTGAGAATGATGTTGCTCCTGATGACGCCACCATGGAAGTGGTTGCAGCTGTTGTTGTTGAGAATGATGTTGCTCCTGATGACGCCACCATGGAAGTGGTTGCTGTTGTTGTTGTGGTCACCACTGAGAAGGGCACGGTTGAGGATACTGCTGATGATGACGCCAGGATTGTTGTCGTGCTTGTGGTGGAAGTGCTTGAGGTTGACGTGGTTGACGGCGAGAAGGTTGCTGCTGTTGTTATGTTGGTGGCGTTGAAGGGCGTTATGGTTGTCGCCGTGTCGTTGTTGGAGGACCCTTGTGGGTTGGTGCCACCGTTATCGGATGAGCGAGTGTAGCCGAGGGCGGCACCGAGGGCGGCGGCCAGGATTGCCATGCCAACGACGGTGAACAGCACGGTCTTGAAGAGTTTGAGGGAGCGTGCCCCTTTCCTGACGACGACGATGCCGTCTGCCGTGGCGCCACCCTCTCCGCCACTCTTGCGCTTGCGACTTGGCGCGAGCGGTACACTTGCAGTGCTGGCGCTGTTGGCACTGCTGTCAACGTTAAACGACGAGGTTGCTGTGGTTTTCCTGGAGACAGCTTTGGTAGCGGTGTGGGCGCCGCCGCGTGGGCCATCAAGCACGGGCACCTCCCTCGTCGTGGTAGCGCTCAACTCCTGCGCAGTGCGGTGTACGGGTGAGGCGCCAAACGGGAGTGGAGGGAGCGGAGGGAGCGGTGGTGCTGCTGCGATGTTTCTTGGCGGTGGGAGTGCGGACAAGGGTGCAGTGCCAATGTCGTCACCGAGGGGATCTGTGGTTGACTCGTCGATTGTGGCGCCGGGCAGCGACCTCAAAGGCCCCAGCGCTGGCAAGCGTGCTGGCAGTGGGTGTGGCACGCGCCGCAGCGGTGCCAACTCGCTGACTGGGCCAGCGCCAGAGGCATCCTGCCAAGGAGTTGCCATGTGTGTGTGTCTGTGTGTGTCTGTGTGTGTGTGTGTGTGTGTGTGTGTCTGTGTGTGTCTGTGGTGGGAACTGAGGCGAGGGAAGAAGTGTCAAACAAAGAAAGAGGAGCTTCAAAAGCAAGGAAGGGTTGAGGCACCAGAAGGATGGATGCGATCTGTGGCGTCAAAGAGAGGCGGTGAACAAATAAAGGTCCCCGACGCACTGCTTGCCAACCACGTTGCCCTGTGTTTGTGCATGTGCTTGCTCGTGGGCGTGGCTGCGGAGGATTTTTGCGGGGCGCGCGGGGAGAGGCGGCTACGCCCAGGATGGGCAGCCAAAAATTATGCTGAGTCAGCAATAGCGAAATAAAACATGTTTGTCTTTGCATGGTTGGTTCAAAAGCAACCAAAACGAACGGTTGGCGGCTGACCGAGAAGCGGTTCATTTACGCTTTTGTCCAGCCAGCCGGCCAGTGAGAGATTTGACAAGTGGGCCGACCACCACCACAAACAAAACCACACACAAACCACACAAACAAACTCGTTCAGTGTTTTGCTTTCTTTCTCGCTTCGCCAACCTCTGCCGCATCCATCCATCCATCCATCCATCCATCCATCCACAGCACGCACACGATGGCTGATTTGAACAAGAAGACGGTGGCGCAGCTCAAGGCGCTGTGCAAGAAGCAAGGCCTGGAGACTGGCGGTCGCAAGGCAGACCTTGTGGCGCGGCTGGCGGCTGCAGACGACGCTGCTGACTTCACAGAGGCCGACCTGAAGAAGAAGACGGTGGCACAGCTCAAGGACCTGCTGGACGAGAAGGGGCTGTCCACCTCCGGCCGCAAGGCAGACCTCATTGCGCGCCTCCTCGCAGGCGGTGGTGACGACGATGACGACGGCGACGACGACAAGAAGGGCAGTGGCAGCAACGGCAAGCGCCGCGCGGCCCGTGGCGGCCAGGCCACGAAGAAGGCCAAGCAAGCAGCAGCTGCCGCGGCTGACGACGACGCCGACGATGATGGCGATGAAGAATCCGAGGAGGAAGAGGAGGAGAAGGAAGAAGCCGTGGTCAAGCGCAAGGCTGGCTCTCGCTGTGCCGTGGACAAGTTCTGCCCCATGGCGGACAGGTTCCATGTGTATGAGGACCACGAAGGCGTGTGGGACTTTACCGGCAACCAGACAAACATCGGCCAGAACAACAACAAGTGCGGCCATGTGTGTATGTGTGTGCGTGTGCATGTGCACGTGTGTGCATGTGTTTGCACACGTGTGTATGTGTGCGTGTGTGTGCATGTGTGTTTGACAAGGAGGACGAGGGTTTTATGCGTCCTTCACCACACCACACCCTTCACCATCTCATCTCTCACCACATGCCTGGGTGGATGCAGGTTTTACATTCTGCAACTGCTGGAGAGCGATGACAAGCGCACGTACCACACGTGGACGCGGTGGGGCCGTGTTGGCGTGCCTGGGCAGAACAAGATCATGCCCGGCACCAGTCTTGCCGCGTGCAAGGCTTCGTTCATGAAGAAGTTCAAGGACAAGACGCGCAACGACTGGTACGACCGCGCAAATTTTGTCAAGGTCCCCGGCAAGTACGACATGGTCCATGTAAGTTTGTGTGTGTGTGTGTGTGTGTGTGTGGTTGTGTGTGTGTGTGTGTGTGTGTGTGGTTGTGTGTGTGTGTGCTCTTTACCTGCTTACTGGTGCAATGGCCTCTTCCCAACCTGCACTTTTTCATTTCCTTTGATGTTGTGATTTCAATACTGTTTCGCCCCTTTCCCCGCCTCCAAACAACACAATCACGCACACACACACACACACGCACCACGCACGCACCACTCACCGTACATGCAGATTGACTATGGCGCGGACGATGAGGAAACGGCCAAGCATGAGGAGGCGCTGAAGAAGAAGAAAAAGGCGCAGGCAAAGGTGAAGAAGGTGGAGTCCAAGCTGGCGCCCTCTGTGCAGCGCCTGATGCAACTCATCTTCGACGTGAAGAAGATGACGCAAGCCGTGGTGGAGATGAAGTACGACGTGAAGAAGATGCCGCTTGGCAAATTGCGCCCGGAGCAGATCAAGGCTGGTTACGAGTCGCTCAAGACCATCGAGGACCTGCTCAAGCGCAACGCGGGCAGGCGCGCGCTGGCGGACGCCTCCAGCGAGTTTTACACCCGCATTCCGCACGTGTTTGGCATGCGCGTGCCACCTGTCATTGCCACCACCGCCATGCTCCAAGAGAAGCTGCAGCTGCTCGAGGTGCGCCTGCTTGCGCTGTGTGTATGTTTGTGTGTTTATATGTGTGTGGTGTGTGTGTGTGTTTGCGTGTGTGCGTGTGTGTGTGTTTGTGTGTTTGACTGTGCGTCTGTGTGTTTGACTGTGCGTCTTGTGTGTGTGTGCGCGCGCCTTCTCTGCGCTTTTTTGTGCGTGCACACGCTGTGTACAAATGCATCCACGCTACGTGTACATGCATCCACACATACACGCACGCACGCTTCATCTCTCACCCACTACCCAACCACCACCAACACCAACGCGAACAATACGAACCACCCATCCCCTCCCTCTAACACACACACACACACACACACACACACACACACACACACACACACACACACACACACAGGCGCTTGAGGACATCAAGACGGCGATGCGCCTGATTGACCAGGAAGGGCCCGACGCGAGCGAGCCCGAGGAGGACCAGCACTTCCGGCAGCTCAAGTGCGACCTCACCCCCGTGGAGAAGGGCACGGACAAGTTCACGCTCATCAACGACTACCTGCAGAACACGCACGGCAGCACGCACCGCCAATACACCATGGAGATTGTGGATGCCTTTGAGGTGGACAAGGACACCGGGTACAAGGGCGGCGACAACAAGATGCTCCTGTGGCACGGATCCCGCATCTCAAACTGGGCTGGTGCGTGCCTGTGTGTGTGTGTGCGTGTGGGGGGGGGGGAAGAGTTTGTGTGTGTGTCTGTGTGTGTGTGTGTGTGTGTGTGTGTGTGTGTGTGTGTGTGTGTGTGTGTGTGTGTGTGTGTGTGTGTGTGGATGGAACATCATTCAACGTCGCAACTGACACGTGTGCGTTTGCATGCATGAATACATGCTTGCAGGCATTCTGTCGCAAGGTCTGCGCATTGCCCCGCCAGAGGCGCCCGTGACCGGTTACATGTTTGGCAAGGGCGTCTACTTTGTGAGTTTTGCACCAGTGTATGCATGGATGGATGGATGCGTGCCTGTCTGTTTTTCTGATGCTGGACGCCTTTTGCTTGTTTGTTCGTTTGTTTGTTTGTGTGTGTGTGTGTGTGTTTGTTTGTTTGTTTGTTTGCAGTTAACGCGATCGCTGACACTACATACACCCACACACCTGGCCACGGGTGCTGTGTAGGCTGATGCGAGCAGCAAGAGCGCCAACTACTGCTTCACCAACCGCAGCAACAACACGGGCATCCTGCTGCTGTGTGAGGTTGCCCTCGGTAAGCAGGAGGAACGCCTTAGCGCAGACTCCTACCTCCACCAGACCCTGCCAAAGGTCCGTCGTCAGTGTTGTGTGATGTGTGTGCTGTGTGCTGTGTGCTGTGAGTGAGTGTGTTGTGTGTGTGCGCGCGCTGTGGCTTGCTGCTTTGCGTGCTACTCGCTCAAACACACAACACACTCACTCACACTCACTCACTCACTCGCACACGCACACATACACACATCACACAACACTCACTGACTCACTCACACACACATACACACGCACTCACTGACCCACTTGTACTCACTCTCCACCAACAACAGACGAAGCAGAGCACGTGGGGCAAGGGCCGCGTGGCGCCCGACCCAAAGGATACGATAGTCATTGACGGTGACGTCAAGGTGCCAAAGGGCAAGCTCGCGGACACGGGCGTCTCCAACCCGCACGGGTACACCCTGCAGTACAACGAGTTTATCGTCTACAACACCAAGCAGATTCGCTTCCGTTACCTCCTCCGCTGCAAGTTCAACTACAAGTACTGAAATGGCTGACATCAAACCCCTTTGCTGCTCTGTGTCTGTGCGTATGTGTGTGTGTGTTTGCTTCTTGCTTTCCTTGCTGCCTTGTTGATTGAACGTTGTTGTCGCCTGGTTGTGCCTTTTTTGTGCTGTCGTAAACGGCGCGTAACTGCAAACGCGGCGATGGCAGTGGCAACCAACACCGCAAACACCAACCACAGTCCACCACAGTGCGCCGTCATCATCATTTACAACACCGGCTGAAGTGACGGGGTCAACTGTGTGCTACAACGACAAACAAAGAAGCAAGCGAGTCAAGCAAGGCAAGGCATCGTGGTCATGGCGGAAGAAGAGCGGCTGTTCAAGTTCCCGAGAACGCGCCACCTGTTTGACGCTGGTGGTGACGCCGTCTCGCGTGATGATCTCCTCTACACAGAACAAGAGGCACAGGTCCGTCACCTTGCGTATTTGCATGTTGTGTATGTGTATGTGTTTGTGTGTACGTGTGCGTTGGGCGGCTCTCTGACGGCTGCTGCTGTTGGTTGAGGCCACCCGATGCCATATTCTCACCCTCATTCACGGCTACCCACACACACACACACACACACACACACACACACACACACACACACACACACACACACGCACACATGCACACACACACATACACACACAGCAACTGTTTTTGTCGGGGCGACACCGTGTGGTCGTGGAGGAAAAGGTGGATGGCGCAAACATCGGGTTTAGCATCGCTGCAGATGGCCGCATCTTGGCCCAAAACCGATCGCACTACGTCAACAGCAGCTCCCACCCCCAGTTCAAACAGCTCGACTCCTGGATCTCCCAGCACATTGTGCGTGCAAGTGTGCGACGCTGTGCGTGTGTGTGTGTGTGTGTGCATGCGTGCGTACGCGTGTGGTGTGTATTTGTGATTGGCTACTTTGTGGCTCGTACGCCTGCTTGCTGTTGGGATTCGCTCACCCCGAAACCTTTGTCTGCAATCCCCCCCAAACAACAACCACTGCACTCAATCACTGCACGCTTCTCAACCTTGCAAGGGTGAGCTGTATGACATTCTCGAGGAGCCAAACAAGTTTGTCCTCTTTGGAGAGTAGGTTGCAGGCGGCATGATGGTGGTGGTTGTTCTTGCTATGTCGTCGTATTGTGTCGTTGTTGTTTCCGTGTGTATGTTCAGACACAGCGCCAGCGACACGAATTGTGTGTGCGACTCCTTCACACCACCCGCTCACCCGCTCACGTTGTCGTGCACATGTGTGTGTGATGAAGGTGGTTGTTTGCGCAGCATACAGTGCAATACTCCAAGTTGCCAGACTACTTTCTTGCGTTTGATCTCTTCGACTGCTCCACACAGCGGTTTCTGAGTCGCGCCAGCTTCCGGCACAAGCTCGGCCAAACCTCCATCCCAACAGTCCCAACAATTGCAGAGGTCCGCTGCGTCTGTGTGTGTGTGTGTGTGTGTGTGTGTGTGTGTGTGTGTGTGTGTGTGTCTTCGTTCATGGGTGCCCCTGTTCATTGAGAGACCCTTGCAACGCTTCGCATCAACTGCACGCTTTACTCGTGTCACTCTCACACACGCACGCACACATACACACACACACACACGCACACGCACATACACACACGCACGCACACATACACACACACACGCACACGCACATACACACACGCACGCGCACACACACTGATAGGTACCTCTAACTTCGCAGGACGATGTGGTGGCGCTGCTGGACACACAGAGCCAGTTTGGAGATGGCCCAGTGGAAGGCGTGTACCTGCGCGTCGATGAACACCCGCAACAACAACAACAACAACAACAACAACAACAACAACAACAACAACAACAACAACAACAGCAGCAGCAGCAGCAGCAGCAGCAGCAGCAGCAGCAGCAGCAGCAGCAGCAGCAGCAGCTTTCGTATCTGGCACACAGAGCAAAGGTCAGGCAACTCTGCTTGTGACGCATGTCGTGACGTGTAATGTGGCAGACGCCAGGCGCACATCTTGCATACATCTTGCTTGGTCCGTTTTCGTTGCGATGAGAGCGTGAAACATAACTGCAACCACATGTTTAGTCAAAACAAACTGTGCGTTGTCGTGGCTGCAACATTCAGGTGGTGAGACCAGACTTCATGCAGGCCATCACCCATCACTGGATGGGCAAGGAGCTCGTGAGAAACGGGCTGCAGTATTAACAACAATGCGACGTGATGATTATGTTGACTTGCGCTGTATTCTTGTCTGCGCTTTGCGTGTTCATGCACACTTACCTGCATTACATTATGAATTCCTAAAGTTGTGACGGGTAGCATTGACATGGTGCTGGTTGTTGTCATTGCCACTGTTGTCTTGGGGACATGATGTCGCCATCACTTGTTCTTGCATACAACCCCCCCCCCTTGGTCAGAATGCTCAGGTGTGCCCAAACTGCATGGTTTCCATTTCCCCACGACACCCAACGTGAAGCAAAGGAACATTCCATGCATTTCAAAAGCTTCACGAACCCTGCCAGTACACTTCACCCTGTTCCCATTTCGCAACAAAGAAGCGTCTTGTGACGACGGATGTGACATGAACGAAGACAAGAGGTGTTGTGGGTGTTGATGCAAACCACCGCTCACTTACAAAGAAGCACAGAGCACACACGCCACCTGCTGAGAGTCGGAGGTGTGAAAGAAGGAGGGCGGCGGCGTGTTCAGTTTCGCGTTGCCTGCCCCAGCCCTTGCCCCAATACGCCCTTCCTTCCTGCCTCCTGGCACGAGGCCACGGCACACATGAACGTACATGCAGCCATGCTCAACCAGCATCGCGAAGTCATGTTCACGGCCCCTGCATATGCCAGCGTGCTGACGCTCACCGCCGCCATGGAGCGCCAAGTACACACGCTTGCCGGCCACGTCGCGTGCGCGTTCCAAGCCATGGCCTTGAGCATTCCGCCAGAGGTCATCTTCAAGATTGCGGAGCTTGCAGTTGTTGCCATCGCCACCCAACACCAACAGCACCAACAGCACCAGCACCAGCAACCACAACTAGTTGGAAGCGCATCAGCGCACCGTCGCCACCACCGCAGCAATCACCACAGCAGCAGCCACAACAACAACAACCACTGCGCTCAGCCAGCACCTCACATCTTCAACGCCACTCAAGAAGACATTGTCGCCGATGCGCCCGTGTTCCTCGCAAGCATCTTCCGGGAAACAGTCTTCCTGCAGACGCACGAGCACATTGCGCCGTTCCTCCTCCCGCTCCTGCACCGGGCCCGCCTCATCCCACTGCCGTCGCCAGCCGATCTTCAACGGGGTGAACCGCGCCACGACCCACAAGACCAGGAAGAGGTGGACGAAGAAGAAGCAACAGCAACAGCAGCAGCAGAACGACAACAAGGAGGAGGTGCGCGAGAAGCAGGATCATCACACGCACATGGCTACAGACACCACCACCACCACCACCACCAAGAACAAGATGGCAAGTCCCAAGAACATCCCTGCTGTGAGAGCTTTGGCAAAGCCATCGAGGGTGACGCACGCGCCGAGACGCACGACGACACCAGCTCGCACACGCGCTCATCATCCATCCACTCATCATCCATTCACTCATCATCCATTCACTCAAGCAAGAACACGGCTAGCCTCCGGCGATGGCAGAGGCGCAGGCGGCAGGAGAGAGCGAGCTTGCTGCAGGACTACACGGTGCAGCGTGTCGAGGCAATGCCGCAGCTCATGCCACTGCATGGATGCCACGAGGCCCGCAAAGCCGCGCTTTGTCGACCGCGGGGCCTGGCCCTTATGGCCGGCGTGCCGCTCCCCGGCCACGACGACATCAGCCAGGACAGCCGACGCATGCGCCGCCTCAAGAGCACATCTGGCAGGTTTGCTGGCAAGCGCAGCAGCGACGACGCAGGCCCTCACAAACATTACCACCGCAGCATCAGCAGCCCCGCCATGGCAGCACTGACGACACCAATGCATGCCACCAACCACTCAACAGCAGCGCACAAGAAGGCTACGCCTGCGACCGACGCAAAGCACAAAAATCCAACGCCAAGCCTCCCCTTGGCCAACACGCTGCTGTCGCCAGCCATGATGACCCCGCCATCGACGCGAACACCGAGCCTGTCCCCTGCACCCCGCTCAGGCGACGGCGGCGGCGATGAGGATGACGAGGTGATGACGGCAGTGGGCTGCGTCATGTTGTGGTGGCGGGAGGATGTGGAGCAGACGCACGGTCTGCGCACCATCAGCCACCGCGAGCACGTGTGGGGCTGGTCGGGCGCCCTCACCCCGGCCGTGCGCAAGGAGAAGCGGGCCATCGCGCAGCAGCTGTGTTACCGCCTGTTTGGCTTTGCGCCCGGTGCAGTGCTGCCCTTCCACGCAGAGACACCCGGCCTGAACGAGTTTCTCGCCTGCGTTGTCGCCATGGACATCCTGGGGCCCTGGCTTGACGAGGTGCACCTGCTGCACGTGTGTACCTGCATCCGGGCATGCACCCCCTTCCTGCCCACCAACAACAGCACCCTCGCTGCCCTGTACGACACGTGCATGCGCATCTGCGTGGAGGACCTGCCCTTCCTCAGGCCGCTGCCGCTCGCCGTCCTGCAGCGCACCATCAAGCAGAAGGTGGAGAGCGCGTGCCGGCTGGCCACCAAGGTGGTGGGCCACTTTGCCGCCAAGGACACGCGCGTGTTCCTCACCAACGCACACGCGCAGCTGCCATACCAGGGGGCCGCCCTGCGCGGGCCAGCCACGTGCACGCTTCTCCACGCATGGCTGCGGGCGATGGCAGAGACCATCCACTTCTTCGACGCGCTGCTGGCAGAGCCAGACCACATCTTCCCGCGCTACGGCGACGTGCGCACGGACGACGAGCACCAGCGGCTGCAGGACAGCGCCGCGCGGAACCTGCGACGAGCACGCGTCTTTGTTGGCGCGCAGTTCATCACCGCAGCCATCATGCAGGCCGTGCTGGCGCTGACGGGGTTTGACATCGACACGGCCCCACTGCACGAGCTGTTGCCGCACGCGGCCGCCTCTGCTGCCCTCGCTTCATCTGGCCACAATAGCGATGCTGATGATGGTGTGGCGAGAGATGGTGACGCTGGCGAGGCGAAGGGTGGTCGTGATGCACGACTTGAGGGCCACCACAGCCCCAGCAGCAACAGTGGCAACAACAGCAGCGGCAGTGGCCACAACAGCAGCGGCAGTGGCAGCAGATTTGCCTTTGATGACGAGCGTGTTGCCGATCACACATATGCAGAGTGGCTTCTGCATGCCGGCTTTGCACTCAGCGAGAAGGCGGCGACGAAGAAGACGGCGACGAAGGAGAAGCGTGACGATGGACCTCACCTCCAACAGCATGCACAGCAGCAACAGCAGGGGGAGGAGGAGGAGGAGGAGGAGGAGGAGGAGGAGGAAGGCGCGCCTTCTGCGCAACGCGATTGCAGCGCTGCGTTCCGGCAGTTGTCCCTGGGGGTGCTTCACGCCCTGCGGGAGACAGAGGCTGGGGCCAACCGCAATGGCAGTGACGCACGCCGGTGCAGCACGAAGCTGGATACAACCAGGCACGCTGTGTTTGAGCAGTGCTTGGACATGTGCTTCTCGTCTTCGCAGGGGCAGCTGGACATTCTCTCCTTTCTCGCAGACATGCCAGATCCGGCCGTGGTCGTGGTGGCCAGCTTTGTTGATGCCTACATGTGATGCCCTGCTGGCACTGCCGGCGACTTTACCTTCGTTGTACGATGTTCTCCTGTGTTCTATTCCCACGTCTTCACCGCTTTCATGTATGTATTCAGACATGCAATACGCTATAGCGTTCGTGTTCCGGCTTCCTTGACCATCTCTTTCTGACCCATCGGCCTGTGTAATTTGAACATCAACGGGACACCGCTTCTAACTTGTGGACTTTGCTTCTTTGCTTCGTGAGCGCACAATCATTTTACCCTTCAAGCTTGAGAATAAACGAGGAATGACACAAGGAACGCACGAAAGAGGAGAAGCAGTCGTCAGGCACTATTGCGACAGGCACCGCCTTTAACATGGGCACAAGGGGTTGGCCTGTGATAGATATTTTACCAAATCTTCAATCAATTATCTACAACCAGAAGTAGGACAGCAACAAGCAAAACCACAACAGCATGGCGACGCAGCACCCTGGCGGTGGCAGCCAGGAGGACGAGGTGATTGTGATTGTGGATGACGACGACGACGTGGACGATGATGGTGGTGATGGCGGTGATGGCAGTGGTGGCGAGGGCGACAGTGCTCGTCTTGGGACGAAGAGGGACAGTGCGTGTGTGGATGAAACCAGCACAAAGGAGGAAGCAGAGGAGAATGTGGCCAAGAAGCCCAAGTCACTCAAGTCAAGCAGTGCCGAGCATGACGATGTGGCGCCACCACAAGCACAGTCTGTGTTTGCTGGCTCCTCCTCGTCCTCCTCGTCCGCAGCGTCCACAAAGTTGACGGCTGCGAAGCGCCCAACTGTGATCACCAAGCCTGGGCTAAGGCTACGCCAATGGAAGCTGTTTTCCAAAGGTGTGATGCGTGGGTGGTTGTGAGTGGATCACAGAACTGCAGAAGGATGGCGCGTGCGCACTGGCACGGCTTACACGTTGTGTTAACACGTGCGTCGATCGTCTTTCTCGGCATGTCTCTCAAACACTCATTCGTGAGCGTGATCTTGTGCTTGTTTTGTTTTGGGTGCTGGGAACAGCAGAGGCCTTTCGTCTCTTTGCCAAGCTCGAGGCTTCCGGTGAAGTGGACTACTACCCAAAGTCCATGACACGCGTGCAGGTTTGTTGTGCCTGTGTGTGTGTGTGTTGGTGTGTGTGTGTGTGTGTGTTGGTGTTGGTGTACTTTGGTGTGTGTGTGTGTATTTATGTGCGTGTGTTGGTGTTGTGTACTTTGGTGTGTATGTGGGCTTGTGTGGGCTTGTGACTGCACTCACGCTCACAATGAATGACACCCGCAACATGTAAACTTCCGTCACCTTTAATCTTCAGGTGTTTGGCAAGTGGCATGAAACACACCGACGCACCACTGCCTATGGCGATGCCGGGCTTGCGTACAGCTTCTCAGGCTGCCGCGGTGAGTGACCGCACTGGTTGTCGGACTGTACTGTTGCGACTGTGTTGCTGCGAGCAATGCACATGGTGCGCGTGGGGGGTTCCATTGCTGGTTAGTTCACGAGAGCGCTTACCGCATGGGCATTTGCTCTGTGTACTTGTGTACCTTCTTCTCCTTGTAGTGCCGTGTAAGCCGTGGACACCGCTTTTGTTGGATTTGAAGACACAAGCCGAAGCAGCGTGCCAACCACCAAAGCCATTCAACTTTGTCCTCGTCAACCGTTACAAGGTACGTGTGCGTGTGCGCGAGTGCGTGTGTGTCCAAGTAATCCAACTCCTGCCTGTCTGTTTGCTTGTCTGCCTTCCTTCGCTCTTTCCAACCCCCTAGCCCAACGTATGGATTTCTCACACATGCGTATCACGGCTGCACAACGCACACGGACGGCAGGATGGGGCCGATTTTATTGGCAAGCACCGCGACGACGAGCGGGAGCTGGATGCCGCGTGCCCAATTGCGTCGCTGACGTTTGGGCAGACCCGCGACTTTGTCTTGCATCATGCACACGTTGTGCAGAAGCGCGGCAAACACACCAAAATGGTGCCTGTCACCGTGACCCTCGCCTCCGGCACGCTGCTGACCATGGATCCGCCCACCAACACCCACTGGTACCACAGCGTTCCAAAGCGAGCACCAGCAAAGGTGCCGGGTGTGCGCATCAACCTCACCTTCAGAAGACTCGACCCTGCCAAGGCAAAGTGATGAGAGAGGGCGGGCAGGGGTTGTACTGTCATGTCGTGTGTGTGTGTGTGTGTGTGTGTGTGTGTGTGTGTGTGTGTGTGTCGTTGTGGCTGTATGCGTGCGCACGTCTGTTTACGAGTGAGCATGGTGCGTGTAGCGTTCATTCACATAGCGCTGATAACCGACCATCATAAACGAAAGCGAAGCCGAAAGAAACAAACAACCAATCACACAAGAAGCGTGCGCATGTGTGCCGGTTCTGGTGTGTTGTGACATGCAGGAGTGAAGGAACATGATTGTGTGTCTGCCATTGTTTGCACTACAACAACAAACGTTGTAACAAGCAGTGAGGTATGTTGAATGCACGAAGGGAAAGAATGCGACTAACAGCTATCCAGAGAAGAGAAGGTGCCAGAACATGGGCATGAGATGAGATGACAATGCACACAAAGGGGAAGCGGAGACAGTAACACATACACAGAGGGAGACTGAATATGTCGAGATCATACATCACCATGCGATGACAGAAGTGGAGGAGAAGGTAAAAAACCAAAACGCGCAAGTGGGCGTCGCCACATTTGACATGAAAGCGTACACGTCATTGACGACAGGTGGTGGTGAGCGTGCTGGCGATAGGTGTTTGTGCATCTACTTTGAGAGGGCAGGGAGTATGTGTGTGTATGTGTGTGTATGTGTGTACGCGTATGTGTGTGCCTGTGTGTATGCGCGTGTGGGTGTCTTCAGATAAGGTTCAGTCGTCGAATCTCCTTGAATTGGTCTGGTATCTCCATCAGCGTCCGCAGCGCAAACGTCGCCTCACACCGCTCGCTTGACCGCATCACCTGTGTGTGTGTGTGCTCGCGTGAACATGTGTGTGTGTGTGCGTGTGCTCGCGTAAACATGTGTGTGTGTGCGTGTGCTCGCGTGAACATATGTGTGTGTGCGTGTGTACACGTGCGCTGCAAGTGGGAGACGGTTGTTCGTATGCCGTACAGCGTGTATCCATTTGCGACGCCTTTCCCCCACCGCCAACTAGCACTGGCTTCCCCGCACCTCGTGGAAGTTGACAAATTGGAAGTTGTCGAACCGCCGCTCCGGTAACCGATCATCTGCGCCACATGGTGGTGGTGGCGGGAGGTGGTGGGAAGCGGTGTACAGTGAGGAAGATGTGAAGATGTGAAGCAGTGAATGAGATGACAATTGGCGTACTGAAAAACACATCGACAGACGGACAGACAGCCAGACAAACAGGCAGACACAAAGGCAGCCAGACAGGCAGACAAACAGGCAGACACAAAGGCACAAAGCCGCACACACACACACACACACACACACACACACACACACACACACACACACACACACACAACACACACACACACACACAAATACGAAAACACACCCACACCCACACACACACACACACACACACACACAAACACGAACACAAGTACGCACCAAACTCCTTCATCATGTCCCAGGGTCCGTCGCCAACACCGATCATGACGATGGACAGCGGGTAGTTGCTCGCCTCCACGATAGCTGATGCAGCGGTGGCAGCGATACATGGAGCGCGGGGTGTGTGAGGTACGGAACGTGAGGGATGAGGAGAGGGCACTGCCATTGTGTAGCATGGTGGATTAAAGCCACGCAGGACAGATACGCAGACACAGACGCAGGCACACACACACAGACATAAACACAGACACACATACAAACACAGATACACAAACACACGCAAACACACACACACACACACACATGCACGGCAGACCTGCGATGGTGTCCTTGGGGGTGGTGACCTGGCCATCAGCGATGATGAGGAGCACGTGGAAGTTCCGCGCCTCCTTCACAATCTCAATGGCCTTGCGAATGAGCGGTGCAAAGTTGGTGGGCCCGGACGGCGTGATCATGGGAGTGATCTGCTTGTACACCTTCAATACCTGGTGCATGCCACGTGGTGGCAGTGGTGGTGATGTGGTGCGGGCAAGGGTGGAGACGTCGCGTTGATGCTGAGTGATGCAATTGCATAGGCAGCATGTTTCAAGGCATGCACAAGCTAACACAAATGAACAGAAGCGCGCGCACACACAGGCACACATACAGGCACACACACAGGCACACACACACAGGCACACACGCACAGGCACACACACACACACATGCCCACATGCACACACACCTCATGGAAGGTCTCGCACGGCCTGTCCTTGATGAAGGGAAAGACGCTGTGCCCCTGTGTTGTGATGTCGCCAAAGCCAAAGGCAGGGATTAGGTGGTCCTCATCAAACTGCGACAGTGTTTGACAGATGACCCGAATGACCTGCAGGCAGTGCACGCAAGTGGTGAGGCAGGAGCCCGGAGAGGGGGAGAGTACGCATTCACGCGCACGAACGCAGATAGAGAGAGACACAGACACAGACACAGACAGATACACAGACACACAAACACACACACACAGACGCAGACACAAACACACACAAAGGCACATTCACACACACGAACTCAGACGCAGACACAAACACAGACACACACGCACGAACGCACACACACACACACAGACACCTGCTGGTATGGGTTCTCAATCTCCCCCGTGACATCGACGTGGTGTAGGCTTTTGCCACCAAACGTCCGCCGCCCTTGGAAGTCGTTTGACTTTGTGTAGTCAACGCCAACGATGAGGTTGCACGACTCCAACCCGCACTCGCGGATGGCGTCAGAGACCTCCTCAATGGACGCGTACTTGTCGCGTATGGCCTTGAACGCGCTCTCTGCCTTTCTCCTCCGGTTCTTGTCCTGGGAGCGCGTCTTGGCGTCGTGCAGCCCAAAGTACGCCGACGTCGCCGCCAGGATCACCGCCGTCCCAATGAAAGGGAAGTCCATATCTGGGTGCATGACGCCAAGGAACAAGATGCCGAGCGCGACAATGCCGCCTGCAGCGGCGAGCGAGCCCACATCCATGTCTGCGGCACCTGCAACTGCTTCCGAGCATTGCGGTGATGGTGGCATTGCCGTTGTTTGTTCTCGTGTCAGTACTACAACAAGGCGGAAGCACTCAACAAGACAAAGGGGCAACAAGGGGCGCACGCACGCTGTGCTCTCGCTCGCAAGTGCGGCTGCGATCATGCCACCACGTTCCGAACCACCACAACTCCTGTCATGTGTCACTCACCACGATCCTCACACGCACCACAGAAGAAGAAGAAGAAGAGAAGAAGACAAAACGTTGACGGTTATGAGAGAGAGCCAGTTGCGTGGTGAAGGATGGCACGAGGTGTTGGGTGGTGGTGTTGGCTTTTCTTTGTTGGTGCTAGCTGGTGCTGGGTTGGAGACGGTCAGGGTGATTTGAAGGCGGGGTGTCAGGGTGGCAAGCTACGATTATGTATTGGGTGTGTACAACAACGAGGCAAGAGGCAAACAGGGGGGAGGTGGACTAGGGAGTAAGTAGGCAGGCGCTTGTGCAACGCTTTCAGTATTGAAAGAAATACATCTTGAAGCCCTGTGCGTGCGTGTGTGTGCGTGTGTGTGCGAGTGAGTGAGTGAGTGAGTGAGTGAGTGAGTGAGTGAGTGAGTGAGTGGGTGGGTGGGTGAGTGAATGAGAGAGTGAGAGAGTGAGAGAGTGAGAGAGAGAGTGTGTGTGTGTGCAGAATAGAATAAGACGTGGGGCAGCCCTCAACAAGCAAGTAACCAACCAACCAACCAACCAACCAACCAACCAAACACACACACACACACACACACACACACACACACACACACACACACACACACACACACACACATGTACGCACGACTGCGAGCGCTGCGTTTGCGAGGACGGCGACGGCGATGACGACAATGCGGAGGCGGGCGGGGGCGTCGTGCAGCAGCCGGGACAGGTTGATCACCACCACCGCGCCTAAGTTGGCAGTGGTCACATGAGGGTAGGAGGTGATGGTGGTGGTTGGAGGTGATGGGGGTGAGAGGCGCTGTACACGTGAATGGCGCTGCGAACGCTGCTGGTGTGGCAGTGCAACTCAGGATGATGCACAGTTGTGTGCATTGGACAACAAGCACTGACAATGAATGCACACACATGGCACACGGCACACGGCACACGGCACACGGCACACGGCACACGGCACATGGCACATGACACATGGCACATTACAGGCCCGCACTTGATGTGCCCATGACCGTCATGATGATGCCCCACTGGAAACCGTTGTCGACAAACGGCAGCCCGCACAAGCACTGGTTGGTTGGTGTTGGAGTTGTGAACACATGCAAGGACATGAGAGTGAAGGGGGGGGGTTTGGCAACTCATGAGAAGCGGACAGAACGAAGCGAGACGCACAGGGGCGCAGAGGGAGACATGGTGTGCATCGCGTGCGCGTGCGTGTTTCTAAGCAAGCAAACACACAGACGCACACAGACGCACACAGACGCACACACACACACACGCAGACACACGCACAGGCACAACAAACAGCGCGTGTGCGTACCGCTGCGAGGATGTAGACCGTGAGGGAGTAGCCGTAGAGACAGAGGAGATCAAATGCACTCACTGCCAGCGCAGAGTAGAACCTGGGCATGCGTATTGTACGCACATGTATTGTATGTTTATGCGTCGAGGTGCGTGCGAATGTGCGTGTGGATGTGGATGTGGATGTGTGCGCGTGCGAATGTGATTGACAGCTGTTGCTTGTGAGACAAGGCACTGGCATCTCACCGCCCAAATGCACGCAAGGTATTTGCACATGTGCTATGACTGCACCTCATTCCGAGCCAGAGACCAATGGGAACCTGCCAATGGCGGCACGTGGCGAGGGAGGGGCGAAGCAACGACAGACGTGAGCGAGGGAGATCACAACAAACAAAACCCCAAATTGCACACACACACACACACACACACACACACACACACACACACACACACACACACACACACACACACACACACACACACACACACACACAGGGTACATGCAGGCATACCAGTGTTGTGTATCCGTAGATGGCGGTAGCGGCGAGCGTAACTGGAAGAGGCGAGGAGGTATGCAATTGATGTGAGGTCCCAAGAGTACGCCTTTCACGCAACCGTCACAGCAATCACAGCAATCACAGCAATCAGACACACACACACACACACACACACACGCACACACACACACACACACACACACGCACACACACACACACACACACACACACACACACACACACACACACACACACACACACAACACACACACACACACACACACACACACACACACACACACAAAGACGCGACCCGTTCACCTTTGGAGAAGTCGTAGTGCCACTCTGTGCGCTGGTCCTGCGGTGTCGCCGTGTAGTGGGCCAGGTTTCCGGTCAGCGCCAGCGCAAAGACTGCGCACAACACACGCAGTGATGCGGTGTGTGTATGTGTATGTGCGTGTTTGAGTGAGTGTGCATATGTGGGCGAGTTTGAGGGACAGGGTGGAAAGGAAGGCATGTGCAGGGAGCATTGCACCAAGCAACACTAGCTCGTCGAGCCTCGTCTGTTGCACGACGCACTTAACGTGGTGCTGATCCAGAAGGGGCCTGTATCCATCAGCATGCAGGCAAGCAATTGGCGTTGTGGTTAAGTGCACGGTGTATGGTGGGATGTGGGTAGGACAGAGGTGCGTCAAGGTCGCACGCAAGTTTGCACGTGGGTGTTTGAATCACAGCAGCAAGTGCACCATAGGTAGCGCAGGATAAGATGCGCGCTCACCGTAGAGGTCGCTCTTGCTCTTCGTCTCCTCGAGGAACTTTGGCGTTGGGATGGCGCCCAACTTGACGCGTTTGGTCACCTGAGCATGGGGTGCGGTGAATGTATGAGAGCGGAGGGCGCGAGTGGTGGGATGGACTGCGTGCGAGCAAGAAAGCATGTAGGTTGTGCAAGCAAGCGAATAAGCATACAGGGCGGAGGTGCACAGACACACAGACAGACTGACACAGACACAGACACAGACACAGACACACAGAGAGAGAGAGAGAGAAAGAGAGAGAGAGAGAGAGAGAGAGAGAGAGAGAGAGAGAGAGAGAGAGAGAGAGAGAGAGAGAGAGAGAGAGAGAGAGAGAGAGACAGACACACACAGACACACACACACAGACACACACGCACGTACGTCCGCTGTGTTGACATCGAAGAACGACTGGTAATAGCCAAAGGACCACACGGAGGCGGCCACAGCAGCATCTGTTGCGGCTGTGTTCCCTTGAGACTCTGCAGAGCTGGTACCCTCCGCTTGCGCAGGCTCTGCTGACATGTCTCCTTGCTCATGTTGACCAAGGAGCGCTGCTCATGCATGCTTGTGTAAGAGAGTATGTACATGTACATGTGCATGCACGCACGCACGCACACACACACACACACATACACACACACACACACGCATGCACGCACGCACACGCATGCACGCACGCACGCACGCACGCACGCACGCACGCACGCACGCATTGCAGTCGCACCATCTGTGTCTTGGTGATCGTAGGTGTCGTCGTCATCATACATATCATCACCGTCATCATCTGGTTCAACCAGTGCAAGCAAGCGACAAGAAGCATCGCAAGCGTGTGTGTGTGTGTGTGTGTGAGGGAGAGAGGGAGACAGCAACCCAAGCCATACAATCGAAGCTTGTTCGCTCAGCTCATGCACACACACACAGGCGCACGCGCACGCGCATCAGCTCACTGCACGCCACTGCACATGCGCACCGTGAAAGTCGAGTGAGATGTCTTCGCCAACCAACGGCTCCTTGCCACTGCTCATCTTCGTTGTCCTCCTTTTTCTTCTTCGCTTCGCTTCTCTTCTCTTCAACAATGATGATGAATGGTGGTGGTGGTGGGTTGCTGCTGACACGGTGTGCACGGCAGTGGCGTGCTGTGAGACATGTTGCTAGTGTCGCTTGCACGATGCGCGGTGCTGCACAAGGTAGTAGCTGCGTCAATCATAGGCTATCTGGTGGGACAGCCACACCGCGGTGGCGAGCGGTGTTGACGTGTGCGCGGCATGCGTCGTCGTCGTCATCGGTGGGGGACTCTGGTGGAGATGTGGACACACAGACGCTGTTTGTGTCCACGCGGCAGGAAGTGGTGGACGCGTTGAGTGAGTGCAGCGACATGATCCTGGACCAGCCCGCCTTTATCGCATCCGTGCAGTACTTTGACCCAGAGGAGGCGCTACAGCACGTGACCCAAGACAACGAGGACAGCAACGGCGACAGCAACCGCGTGCCCCTCGGCTACAGCGCAGAGGCCCTGGCAGCGGCAGGGGCAGAGGCACAGCAGGATGCACAGCAGGATACAGCGGCGTCGCCAGGAGCAGCGGCGTCGTCGGTGAACCGTGGGTGGCACCTGAGCGAGGACGGCCCGCTCACGCGCTTTATTGTTGGGGTTGCACAGCAGAAGGTGGCGGACGACGATGGCTCGCATCACACTGCCGTGGAGGAAGTCCTTGATGTCGGTCAGTGCAGCAAGTCGGGGATGGAGGGGACAGGAGGGGAGCGAGAAGGCAAAGAAGAGCGTGTGTGTGTGTGTGTGTGTGTGTGTGTGTGTGTGTGTGTGTGTGTGTGTGTGTGTGTGTGTGTGTGTGTGTGTGTGTGTGTGTGTGTGCGTGCGTGCGTGCGTGCGTGCGTGCGTGTGTGTGTGTGTGTGTGTGTGTGTGTGTGTGTGTGTGCGAGTGTGAGAGAGAGAGTGTGTGTGTGTGTGTGTGCATGCGCGAACACTTGTGTATGCATGTGTTTGTGTCGAACCGCACGTGGCGTTTTGCACAGATTCACAGACACGCGTTCATGTGCTCACCTCTCACCTATCACCTCCGCTTCGCTTCTCTCTCTTCACCCTTCTCCCCCCCCCCCCGATGGCAAATGACAGTCCTGCCTGCGTTTGCTGGTGAGACGCTGCTTGAGCAACAGCTGCGACAGCACGGCACCCTGGGCGTGTGGCGCGGGGAGGTGGATGCGCTTGGCCTGAGCAGCTGGCAGTATGGGTTTGTCAAGCACCACACCCTCGCCTTCTTCAACACGCGTGGGGTCTTGGCCGAGGTCGGCCAGCACGCCGGCGAGCCTGTCCTCTTCCTCAACCCACAGCAGCAGCAGCAGGAGCAACAGGAGGAGGAAGGGCAGCAGCAGCAGCAGCAGCAGCAGCCGGTGTCTGTGCTACCACTTGCTGACATTGCTGATGTCAGAGTGCGTCTCGCGGAAGAGGCCAAGACGCTCGCCGTCTTTACAGCAGACCAGCAGGGTGCGTGTGTATGCGTGTGTGTATGCATGTGTATGTGTGCTGTATGCGTACGTGTACGTGTGCGCATGCGCATGCGCGCGCGCGCGTGTGTGTGCTGTATGCGTGCGTGTTTGTGTGAGCGTGCACTCCCGGTACGAACATGCACATGGTCACATCACGCCCTGTGCTTGACGCTGTTCTGCTCCCTCCCGGCGCCACCACGTGTGTGTTGTGCAGAGATTCCCATCCTGCGTGACGACGCTGTGGATGACATTGACGCGACAGATGAGGGGCAGGTCATGATTGCCTCGGAGTGGATGGTGCGTTGCAATTGTGTGTGTGTGTGTGTGTGTGTGTGTGTGTGTGTGTGTGTGTGTGTGTGTGTGTGTGTGTGTGTGTGTGTGTCACGTGCGTGTGTTGCCTCTGCACCGCTCCTGTTTCTGGGCTGCTTGTGCCACAGCAGCGTTGACTTGTTTTGTGCAGCATGTGCAGCATTTCCTGCTCCGTTTGACCTTGCTACACGACGTGACATGCTGCCCACGCGCATCAGGTGAAAGCTGCGGGCTCTCTCGTGGCGCTGCTTCGCCAGTATGGCCACACCGCGCAGCTGCGCCTCCCTCGTGTCCTCCTCCAAGGTGCGATTCGTGTGTTGTGTGTGTGTGTGTATGTGTGTGAAACGTGTTTGCGTTGTCGTGTTTGCTCCGTTTGCACGTCTTGCCGTCACCCACCCACTCACTCCCTCACTCACTCACTCACTCACACCCATGCTGTTGCTTGCTTGTGTGACCTTGGCAGAACACAATGCGCGTGTTGCAGCCCGGAACAAAGGCTGGAAGGACGCTCTCAAAGCTCCAACAACCCACAAGTAGCAGTGCAGCAGGAATCACAGACACAGACACACACACACACACACACACACACACACACACACACACACACATACACACGCACACACACACATACACATACACACACACACACACACGTGACAACGCCATCTGAACGACAGGACCAGATCGAAGTTGTGACGATTTATTGGCATCTTCAAATAAATTTCGGCAGTTTGGGTTTGCTGATGAAATGCAAGCGCTCAAAGATTCGAGGACGCAAGACGATCAGCCATCGCGGTCACAGCCAAGCACACTCACGTTCGTTCTTCTGTTGCTGTGGGAGCGAGAGGCAGGGGAGAGCATTTCCAACACACACGCAGAGCACGCTGGACACCACACAAAGGGCGTAACACATACATAAGCACGCAAGGAGAGTGCAACTAGCGTCGGTGATGCCGGGTGTGCTGTCGAGGCTGGCGGCGACGCCAATTGCTCGTCGCGTCATCAGGCACATGACAACCTTCGTGCGGCCAGGTGAGCTGGCCCTGGGCAAGGAGCGAAGGAAGAGGATGGGAAGGATCGTTGGAGAGCTGGGGAGCTAGCTTGAGGAAAGGTTTTACCGCGAGTTGGCTGAGGAACATGGCAGAGCAGCAGGATCCCAGCCACAATCGTACACACACACACACACGCACACAACCGTATGCTCTCTCACACAATCACCCACACACACACACCTACAGGCACGAGTGCTGCGCTTAAGCTGCGAGGAGGAGGAGCAGCGCAATGTCCAAAGCCACCGCCGTCTTCAGGGTCAACGCCAGGCAGCGTTCAGCGCCCGTGTTATGGTCGAGATGCCAGCCCAGAGAAATGCGCAAACTGCCACGTCTTCCCATGCAACAAGATCATGATGCAGCGTGAGTCTCAAACCAAGGGATGCAGGAGAAGGGAGAGGAGGTGAAAGGATACCGAGTGATGAATGGCTTTGCTTCCTTGCTGTGACAGTGTGGATCATGGTGTTGATGTTCGTGACCTCACGATACGCAACGGTAACTCTCATGTGTGCGTGTGTGTGTATGAGCAGGCTTTCAAGGGCGGGACTACTCGTTCCGGGCGAATAGGGGGCGGCCGTGGCTGTGGTTCTTCGCCACTGCAGGCATCTACGTTGTCCTCAACACAGAGCAAGTGCCAATCACAGGTAACCTGACCGCGTCAATTCAAACACGCCGTGACTGTGTTGCCGTGACCGCGTTGGTGATGAGAGGGGGGGGGGGGGGGAGGGGATGCTCTGATTCATGAATCCACAATCTTCATCGCCCGCACTCACACAGATACGTGCCTTCTGACACCGCGCCAACACTCCGCCATATCTATGGTTGTGACCAGACCGGTATCGCGTGCGTCTGGTCCCGGAGTTTCTTGAGCGACGGATGGATGAGGACTACGACCAAACCATAGTCAACGCCCTCACCACACGCGCCCTCCCCGTCGAGTCAATGGTGCGCTGTGTGTGTGTGTGTGTGTGTGTGTGTGTATGTGTGTGTGTGTGCGAGTGTGTGTGTGTGTGTGTGTCAATCTGTGCGTGTATGTGTGTGTATGTCCACTTGAATTGCTTGGAGGCTGAAGGGTACGAACGCTCACGTCGTCCCTACCGACTGCGACGACCGCACACACACACACATTACACACACACACACACACACACACACACACACACACACACACACACACACACATACGTACACACATACGTACACACATACACATACACACACATACACACACGTCCACAGGAGCATCAGCGCATTCAGAGCATTGGCGATCAGCTCTGCAAAGCAAACGGCCTCCCGCCCATGGAATACTTTGTCATTGACGACGACGAAGAAAACGCTTTCGTATCAGCAGGTGCGTGCATGCGTGTGGACGTGTGGACGTTGAAAAATGAATGCCTTCTTGCTCACTTTGCTTGCAGCGACCTTACCACAGGTATTCTGTTGCAATTGCCCAACCTCACAGTCCAACATCAAATGCACACATGCACACACACATACACATCAACCCTCAGGTGGGAAAGTGATCTTCTACACGGGCCTGCTGCGCGTGCTTGATTCCGTGGACGAGGTTGCCGTTGTTCTCTCGCACGAGCTCGGCCACTACGTGGCGCGGCACAGCAGCGAGCGAACAGGCATTGACTGGCTCAAGGCGTGCTTGCAGGCAATCTTTGACCTCGACGGATCCGACACAGCAAAGTGTGTGTGTGTGTGTGTGTGTGTGTGTGTGTGCGTGCGCGCGTACTGCGTACTCGAATACGCATGTGCTGGTGTTCGTGCTAGTTGCCTCACCTCACTCCCACCATAATTCCACTCCCCCTGCCCCTCATCCCACGAGCAGCAAAGTGTCGACGATGGCGCTGACGCTTCCAAAGTCCCGCAGCGTGGAGCGAGAGGCAGACCACATTGGCCTCATTCTCCTCGCACGCGCCTGCTTCAACCTCAACGCAGCACCAAAGGTAGTTGTGTGTGTGTGTGCGTGTGCAGTGATGATATTGCAGCGTCGCGTCGCAGCTGCACACTCACTATCTGTGTTTCTGTGCCCTCAGGAACACGCTGGCATGCATTGCTCATCATCTGACACGCAACCCGCAAGCACACGTGCACACTCACAACACAAACAATACTCACACACCCTCCCCCTCACTGGCTCCGCCACCACACCGCAGGCGTGGGAGAAGTTGCATGCAAGCAAACTGCGACACCTCGAAGAGAGGCAGCGCGAGTTTGAGGAGACGCAAGAGCACCGGACCGAAATGCAGGCGGCACAGCGGCTCATGGACACATCCACACGCAGCAGCAGCAGCAGGAGATATGCGCGGGGCAGTGGCGCAAGGCATGGTGGTGGTGATGGTGATGATGGTGATGCTCAGGAGGTACAGCAGCGGTGGAACACAGGTAGCGAGCACAGTGCAAGGCACTCAGAGCAAGCACGCGAGTCAGACAACGCGCAGCAACAGCAACAGCAGCAGCGGGGCCACTACTACGATCAGCACGGCAGAGTCAGCGGCAGCAGCAGCAGAAGTAGCGGTGGCGCCCAGAGCAGTGATGGACTGGTGGGAAATGTGCGGGCAGTGGTGTCATCTGTCCTCACATCGTCGGCAAACGCATTTCTCGAAGACTCCATCGAGCCAGAGACATTCGCAGAGAGGTGCGCATGACAACATGTTCATGTTCATGTTTGTGAGTGTATGATGTTGTGTGTGTGTGTGTGTGTGCGTGTTGTGTGTGTGTGTGTGTGTGTGTGTGTGTGTGTGTGTGTGTGTGTGTGTGTGCTTTCCTTGTGACTCTTCTTTCGCTGCGACCTCAACACCGCACTATTACCACCATCGCTATCACCACCACCGTCATCTGCAGGCTGTGGGCAACGCACCCGACACACACGGAGCGCCTGGACCACTTTCGCCTCGACGGGCCCTGGATGGAGGTGAGCGTGAGAGCACGAGAGCAGAGGAGAGGTTGACGATGGTTGATCGTGGGTGGTGTCGTGTCTTGCGCGGTGCATTCGTGTTTTCATGTGCGTTCTCGTATGCTTGCGACACAGTCTTGACATTACTTCCAATTCTAACAACACACACACAAATCACACACACACAAATCACACACACACACACACACACACACACACACACACACACATCACATCACACAGGCTGCGCGTGGCGAGCAGGAGCGGTACTGCAACTGCTGCGAGGCGCTACGGCCCGTGCCGGCGTTCCACGAGACACGCCCGCTCCGGTGGTGGCTCAGGGCAACCAAGGACAGGGTGGCCAGAGAACACATGCTGCTGATGCAGCAGGAGGGCGGCGATGGCTTTGATGGTGATGGTGATGGTGATGGTGATGGAAGGAGGCGGTGACATGACTGAGCCGGTGGTGTGAGTTGTTGGGTGTCAGCTGTGCATGTGCTCTTGGGACGTGTGTTACAACATCGCTGTTAACGTTATTACATTACATATGCCTTATCTGCATGTCTGTTGAAGAGGAGGATGGAAGAACGCGTGGAGGAGGGGAGGGAGGACAGTGAGCAAAACGTTTCGTCATCCGCGCGTCATCTCGAAATCCAAACAACAAACACCAAAGCAAGCAAGCAACAAGCCAGCCAGTGAACCAACAACAGCGATGAAGCAGTGGCGAGCGTGTGTTGTGGGAGGGTGTGGCTACCTTGGCCAGCGGTTGGTGGCACGGCTGGTGGCGCAGGGCCATGGCGTGGTCGTTGCGGACATTGCTGCGCCACCCGCGGATGCCGACCCGGCCGTCACGTACGTCAAGACGGACATCCGCAAGTATGACGACGTCGCAGCCGCGTTTCAAGGTCGCGCATGTGTGTGTGTGTGTGTGTGTGTGTGTGTGTGTGTGTGTGTGTGTGTGTGCGTGCGTGCGTGCGTGCGTGCGCGCGCGCGTGTGTGTGTGTGTGTGTGTGCCTGTGAACGCGCCACGCTGAAGGAATGCTGCTCCATGCGTTCCTTGCCTCTCCCTTGTCTATCCTCTTTCCACCATGCCGTGACAGGCTGCGATGTGGTGTTTCACACGGCATCCATCGTGGACATGTCTCCTGCACCCACGGATATGGTGGCGGAGATCAACGTTGACGGCACCACCAACATCATCAAGGCTGCACAGGCGTCACCCACCGTCCTTGCTCTCGTTTACACCTCGTACGTGTACACGTGTGTGTGTGTGTGTGTATGTGTGTGTGTGTGTGTGTGTGTGTGTGTGTGTGTGTGTCTGTGTGTGTGTGTGTGTGCGACTGTGTGTGCGACTGTGTGTGTGACTGTGTTTGCTCTTGCATGCGGTTATTCTGCTGCCATGTTCGTGCAACCCATTTCACCAACGCCCCCTTCCCCACCATCTCCTCTTCAAAGCTCATGACCGCGTCCACACACGACGACACGCCACCACATTCCAGATCCATGGACGTCTGTGTGACGGGAGAGCCCATTCGCAACGGCAACGAAGACCTGCCATACCCAACAACGTACGTGGGGTGCCTCTAAACTACTGCTCGCAACCTCACCCCCGTCTATTGCTGTGCTTGTCCGTGTGGTTCACTGTAATGCTCACGCCCACTAACTGAACACGCACTCGCGCCTGTCTTGTGTAGCTTCCTCAACGCGTACATTGAGACCAAAGGAGAAGCAGAGCGCCGCGTGCTGCGCGCTGACGGCCAGGTGCGCGCCTGTGTCTGTATGTCTCTTGCATGAAGTCGCACTTGTCATTTGATGGCTGCAATGTCACCACGCTCACGTACACACACACACACACACACACACACACACACACACACACACACATGGCATGCAAAGGCCCTTCGCACGTGTGCGCTGCGGTCTGCGCACATCTACGGGCCAGGTGATATGATGATCACAGAGATCACGCACCGCGTGGCACGCGGGCAGGTGCCTGCACGCTTTGGCAGCGGCATCAACGACTACATCTTCGTGGAGAACTGCGTCACCGCCCATATCGACTGCATGACCGCCCTCTGCGGCGGCGCCATCAGCAACCAAGGTACGTGTGTGTGTGTATGTGTATGTGTGTGTATGTGTGCGCGCGCGTGCGTGTGTGCGTGTGTGTGTGTGTGTGTGTGTGTGTGTGTGTGTGTGTGTGTGTGTGTATGTATGTATGCACCCGCGGTTCATATTTCGTTCATCGCAATGTTTGAACAGTTCGCGGGCGCCCGTTCTTCATCAACGACTTCCAGGCACCCATGTGGGAGCACATGCAGGTGCGTACAACAGCAGCCGCTCTGGCATTTGTCTTCCTCCCTTGGCAACCACCCATGAGATTACACAAAACACAACACACAACAACAGCAACACACGCACACGCACTTTCGCTCATGCAAACACACACACACACGCACGCACACACACACGCACGCACGCACGCACACACACACACACACACACACACACACACACACACACACACACACACACACACACACACACAGCCGATGCTGGAGACCGTGGGGCTGAAGCCACCGTCGCTTTCTGTTCCGTTTGCGCTTGTGTACTTCCTCGCGACAATCAACGAAGTGCGAAGAGAAATGTGTTGCGGTGATGAGTGAATGACCTGCTGATGTTGCATGGCGTGGTGGTTTGGACTTACAACTGCTGTTGGCGCTGTTGGTGCTGGTGTTGATAGTGACGTGACATGACGTGACACGTCATGCCATGCGTTTGCTTCACCTTTAACGACCTTTCCTCCACTGCTCACCTTTCGTGTTTGTCTCCCATCTGCATCGCGTACACCTGTTGCGAACACGATTGCCTCATTGCCATCATCACACCACGCGCAACCAATTCTTTAGTTCCTCTGCCGCGTCTTCTACGCCATCACGCACATCTCTGTCCATCCAAATCTCACACGTTACATCATGGCCGCCGTCGCAATCGACCTCTACTTCGACGCTTCCAGGGGTGCGCACATGTCATCGTATGTTTATGTGTGTGTGCGTGTGTGTATGTGCGCGCGCGCGTGTGTGTGTCCGTGGTTTGGTTTCTGCGTCTGCATCTCAATCTCCATGCATATTTACTCGGTGTGGTCGTCGTGGTGCACATTGTGTTCAATGTAGAGCCATTTTCGTGCGTCTAACCAATCATGCACACCCACCTGTACGCATCATGCTCTCAGCTCGGCAAGTGTTCTGGCACACAGCGCCCATCCCACGTAGCACGGCCATGAAACTCACGTGCGAGTGGGCACGCACGCTGACAGACGCACCATACAACACCGAGGTGGGATGTGAACACTGTGCGTGTGCGTGTGCGTGTGTGTGTGTGTGTGCATTGCGTGTCTGTGTGGGACTGCAAACGACAGCAGCCTTTCATCTTCATTTGACCCACACAACAAGGCTTCATCGTGTGCACTAACAACCACTACGCAACATACACTTGTCCGCACATGTCCGCACATGGCAGTATGCTCGCCGCCCACAGCTGCAGCGAATGCACGCCTTTCATTTCTTCTACGGCGCCCTGCTCTCCCTCGTGGGCACGCTCGCCTTTCTTGACCCGCAGCGCTTCTCACACGTGTGTGCCGTGCTCGCTACTGGCGGTCAGGTGGCGGTGGGGACTGAGCGCATCTGCATTGCCATTTCTTGGCACATGCGTACTCATGGCCCGAGTGCCCCGTGCACGCTCGTGCTCCAACTTCCCTCACAAACAAACAAACAAACAAACAAACAAACAAACAAACAAACACCACACGTATGGTAGTACTTTGGGGTGCCGTGCTCAGCGCTACCCAGCAGCGGCGCATTCATTGCACAGACAGCCGGCCTCATCATCGCCGTTCTCGGTGCGTGAACCATGATGGTGTCGTGGAATGCATGCGGCACGATCGATCGAGCGTGCGTGCTACGTGGCGCCTGCTGCAGTGATTGTGCACGTTGCGTGTGTTTGCTTGTTGTGTGTTGTGATTGTGTGGATATGTGTGTGTGCTGGAATCAGCTTCTTCTGAGGCTTGTGTCTCCCCTCGGCATTGCATTACGGCTCTTCTCTTCACATACACCGCTCCTCTTTATCGGCTCCTTCGTAGCTGTACTGTGTCTCACACGCTTTCCCTGCTGTCACTGACTGGCACGTTGGCTTCTTCGCAGGAAGCTACAGCCTGTGCGCTGCTGTGCTGAAGTGGCCGATGGTTTACTTCCAGGTCACATGGGCGCCCAAGCTCGTGACAGCGTTCTTCTTTGCCGTGCTGGTACGCACACAGACACACACACGCGCAGACACACACGCGCACATGCATATACACACGCGCACACGCACATACACACACGCACAGAGCTTCATGACTGCGAAGCGGAGCCGAGCGAAGCTTGAAGCACGGCTGTGGTGAAGGAAGGCGGGACGCGAGGAAGCTTTGTCTTCCTTTGATACAGCAACTGCGCTCATACGTACACCTCTACCCCCTCCTGTATCCTCGTCCTATGCTGTGTACCCCTAAATCCCCTTCCCCTTCTACCCTGTGTGCCGCTCGACAGGTGCTGCTTGGACGGCTGCCGGCGCCGTTTTGGCTGTTTGTGTTTGTGGAGACGTGGATTGGGCTGATTACGCTCGTGCTCTCGCGGCCCCACGTCCGTCTTTCCTACTTCTTCAACGGCCTCACCCTCACACAGGGGTTCCATGCGTACGTTGCGGGGTCGCAGCTTAGAAGTGGACAGCACTGCGGGGAGTGTGTAATGTCACAATGCGCTTGATTCGTGCCTGCGCCCATGTGTGCATGAATAGCAAGGAGCACAACGTTGCATGAATGAAACCCGGTCTCGGACGCTTTTTCGTGAACTCACTTGCAGCATCACTTGCACCTGTGCACACACACACACAGCCTAGCGTCTGGCATCTTTGCGATGATCATGACTGTGTGCCCGCTGTTGGCCCTCCCAAACGTCATCGCCATGGACGCAAGCGCAGACAAGGATGAGTGAGTCATTCACTCACATGCTTGCTTCCCACGCGCGACTCGCGCATGCATGTGTAGTTGCGTTCGTGCCGCCGCTCTCACACCGCCTTTTCTCCTCACGCCTGCTGCCACCACCGGTGTTTCCGCCTCTTTGTCGGTTTGCAGCTTCAACGCTGCGGTTGCATGGGGCCACGTGATGGGGGCGGCCGAGTTCATGATGACCTGGACATACAGCGCATCCGCGTTTGGTGCGTGCAGCGAACAGCGGAGATGACTGAGCTGTGGTGGCGAGCGGAGTGGGGGGGGGGGTGGAGTTGATGCGTTGACTTCATGCTGCCAACACATCACGTGGTTTTGCCAACCACTTGCCATGTTGTGAGGTTGATTTTGTTTTGTTCTTGCCTCACCTTGTTATGTAAGCCCTCACCTCCCCGTCTCCCTCTATCTGCAGTTGATGGCATGCAGCGGTTTGCGTGGCTGTCTGTGGCCTCCCGCCTGAGCGCAGTCGTCGTGCTCTGGGTTGCATTCGCCCTTGGACACACCTCTCTTCAGCAGGTGGGGCTGTGTCGTGGGCTGGAGGCGATCGAGGGGCTCGCCATGAGCAGCGTTGTATTATGTTCACTTTCCTCACTCATATTGTCTGGCATGCCCACACTCGCACTTTTTGTATTTTGCCACAGGCTGTTGGCGCATCACCTGATGGGATCCTCGCCATCCTCTCACTGCTCGTGTTGCGCAACCAACAGCCACCAACATACTCCCCTCGCAAGTGACTTGCGTGTTTGCGTGAATGAATGAATGGGTGGATCAAGGAAGCATCGGTCTGGATGAGCCAAAGAGGCATGTCTTGTGGCAGTGGCCCCGTGGCGCACAAGCAAGATGCGCGTCTTCAGTGGCATTGTGGTGGAGGGAGTTGGATCGGGGTTTTGGGATTAGGGATCGGCAGCAGGACACGCCGTGCGAGCGAGCAAGCAAGCGCGTGGGTGACAGAGGACAGAAGGAAGATGAAGGAAGATGAAGGAAGATGAAGAAAGAGGAGGAGGAGGAGTGGAATAACTGTGAGGTGATGAGGTGAATGCAGGGTTTGTTGTTGTTTTTGTTGTTGTTTTGTTTGCTTGCTGGTTGTGTTGTGTTGTGTGGTATGCTTGCCTCCCTGCTATTGCTTCCTTCTTCTCTCCTTTTCTCTCTGCTGTTCTTCTCTCCTTCCCCTGCTTCTTGTTTGCCACCGCCGCCATCGCCGCCAAGCAGCGTGACGACGACGACTTGCCTCACTGATTGAGCAACCAGCCACTCGTCACACACAAACACACAAACACACAAACACACACACACGTTGGTCTGTGCGATTTTCGATGGTCATCTTCTGTTATTTTTCCGCTATCACAACGCCACCCAACATCGCCAATATTCGCCACTGTTCGCTTTCTCGTGTGTTTCGTCAGCCAAGAAGGAATGTTTGCCTGGTGGCGAAAGAGCGAATGCCTGAATGCAAAGCAAGTCCTTCTTGCAAGCAAGACAAGCAAAGCGAACAACATGAGTGCTGCTTGCTTCTTGCTTGCTTGTGGTGGTGGTCGTGTGGTTGCCACCACACATTCACACACGCGAACACACATCAAATGCCCACAAAGCAGAGAGAACCATCCCATCCCACTCACCCACCCACTCACTCAATCCCTCTTGCTTGCATGTGTGTGTGTGTGTGGTTGACAGCAATTGTTGCTTCAACTTGAAACCAGCACCAATACGTGCTCGTTTTCCTGACATTCATCCGTCACCAACCAGCCAACCGTCTCGCTGGCTGACTGTTCTTTCTGTCTCGCTTGCTGGTTGCTTGTACCTCTCCCTGCACACATCTGCACACTGCTGCCCCTTCTTCTTCATTTCTTCATTTCATCCAACCACTCCAACCTTCAATGCAACAAAGCACCACACAGCTATCTCCGACAACGGTTTTTCCCCTTTCTTTCAACACGTACACACACAGTCATCAGTTACCCAGCGCGCCAAACCATCCATTCATCATCACACCACATCCCATCGATCAACGTCCACCCACCAATTCATCCACCCATCCATCCATTCATTCATCGACATCAGCATTGGCATTGACGTCCACACCAGCCAGCCCGTTTGCTTGCCACATTCACAGACGCGCACGTGTGACGGACAGACACATCAAGAGCTGCAAGCCAGCTGAAGCAACCACAACAGACAGCACCAACAGAACACAAAACAAACATGCGAAGCGTATGGTTGTTCACCACGACCACCGCCGTTGTCGCCAGTGTGTTGATTGCATTGCTGATAGCTCCTTCCGTCGCTGCTCGTAAGTCAAACGCACAGCATTCGGTGTGCATGTTCAGAACATGTGTTTGAGTGCATTGTCGTGCGTCGTCGTGCGTCGTCGTCGTGTGATTGGCTCTGCTTCTGCCATGGTGTGCTGAAATATGATGCCGTGGTGAAACGTGAGGTAGTGAGGCGACACTGTGTCGCATATCAAGCAAGTCACTCACACAGACACACATTCACACACATTCACGCACGCACGCACACACGCACACCACGACTTGACAGGCAACTACACGTGCTTCCGGACGTGTCCGCAGGGCAATTTGAGCGCGTGCGACACGGCGCTGGACAGCCAGCACGAGAACTGGTACATTGACGCCGCGCCAACAACCGCCTCCGTGCGCATTGCGGGCGACTGGCAGCACGTGGAGGATGATGGTGCGTCGCTGCAGGTGACCTCGTCCTCTGCGTATCTGGGCGGCTATTTCCTCGACGACAGGGACCAGGACAAGGGCGAGAAGAGCGTCACCTTTACCATGCGCGTGCCGCTGCCGGGCACCTACAAGGTCTTCCTGCTGCACCCGGCGAGCGACGTTGCTGCCAGCGCCGTGCCCGTCGGCATCACCAGCTTCCAGGCCAACGACGTCGCCGTCGGCGTGGACCGCAAGGTTGACCAGCGCACACAGTCGCACCCAGACCTGGGCGGCACGTACCTGGGCACCTTCACCAACGTCTCCACCCACATCGTCGTCGCCGTCACCACCACCAACACCCACGTTGAGACAGACAACTTCCTCGGCAACCACGTGCTTGTGGACGGCCTTCTGCTGCAGCCCACCGAGGTCGACGTGTGCGGTCTCCTCACCACCACCACTACCACAGCAGCATCGCAGAGCACGGGTGGTGGTGCGTCCACGGCAGGAAGAACTTCAACAGCGGAGGCGACGGCGGCGCCCGCAACAACCACGCGGCCTGGCCTGACGGCCGGCGGCAGCGCGACGTTCATTGAGTCTGACGCGTTCATCATCATCGCCTGCGCTGCCGGGTTCCTCATGGTGTGCGGGCTGATTGTGCTGGTGGTGATGTGGCGGGTCTCGCGCAACCGCAATGCCGTCGACGACAACAAGGACAAGGACGGCGACAAGAAGGCGCAGGGGGAGGGCGCGGTGGTGGAGGTGGACGGAGAGCAGACGGGCGTCGTGCGCGCCGTCTCTGTTGCCATCATCGATGATGAGTTCCTGGACCAGGGCGCCATCTGGGAATGGGATCGCGTCGACTGCAAGGACTCAAAGGCGTGATGTCGCCGCAGGGGCTTGAGTTAGGGAGACGAAAGACGGGAGTGTTCACCGGGTGGATGGTGGTGGTGGTGGTGGTGGTGGTGGTCATGGGTGCTGGGTGGTTGTTGATGGTAGTGCGTGACAGTGGGTGATACTTGCTGTTCTGCTTTGATTTGATTTTTAATTGACTCTGTCTGTACATCACATTACATTACATGACATGCATGCACGAATTGTTCTTCTGCTCCTGCTTCTGTAGATGTCTTTCATTCATCAGAGAACGCGTGTTGCTGTTTTATTTCGGGTGTTCAAGTGTGATGCCTGTCTTCTTTCTCCGATAGATCTTGTTCCCGCAGCACCATGGCGTTGCGTGTGTATGCGCTGGATGGGATGGCACTGAATGAACGAAACACACACAAGCAAGCGAAAGCAAGCCAAGCACACAAGCCAAGCAGGGGAAGCAAGCGAAGGAAAAAACAAACAAACTACCAAGCAAGCGGTGCGAAGCAAGCATGAAAATGAAAAAATGCACTGTCGCCTCAAATCTCAAATCACGCTCCTTTCAGCCTTGCAAGCACAAGAAGCACGAAGAAGATAGCGATGGCGGTGTTTCGTGCGGCCCATTCTTGGTTGTTGCTGCTGGTGGTGGTGGTGGTGGCAGTGGTGGCATGGATGGGACCACACTGCGGATGCTTGGCAGAGGTGGTGCTGGTGGAGGATGGCAGTGGCACGCTCCACATCAACACGAGCGATCCAGCGAGCCAGCCCGTGCTGGTGAACGGGGTGAACGTGGACGCGTTGTTTGAGACCGTCAAAGCCCAGCAGAGCATGCTGGAGCAGTATCAAGCAGCCGTGCAGGCGCAGCAGAGCATCAACAGTGTTCAGCAGAGCACAATTGATGCGCAGCATGACATCAACTCCGCACTGCAGAGTAAGGTCGGCTACCTTTGCCAAGCAAGGGCTCAGCAGATTGGACATTATCATCACAGTGCGTCAACATTTCAGTGGGTTGGTGGTGTGCTGGCCAACAATGGGCTGCTCTATGCTACCCCACACAATGCAGATTCCGTTCTCATCATCGACCCCAGCACCAATACCGTCGACGTCACAACCATCAGCGGCCTCGGGACAAATGGAGGCAATTGGGCTGGTGCCGTTCAGGCGCTCAACAGCCTCATCTATATGTTCCCGGCAAACAAAGCAAGCATGCTCATCATCGATCCGGTCACCAACGCCGTTGACACCACTAGCATTCAATCGCTTGGCTCTGGCAACGGCAAGTGGTTCAGCGGCGTGACAGCAGACAACGGCCTTGTTTTTGGCGTTCCATACTACGCCACCGATGTGCTTCTCATCGACCCAACGACGAACACTGCCGACGTCACCAGCATGTCTAGCCTGTCTTCCGACATTGAGAAGTGGTATGGCGGTGTGCAGGCACCCAACGGCCTCATCTACTGCATTCCCAACATAGCTTCCTCAGTGCTCATCATCAATCCAGAGTCCCTAACGATGGATCTGACCACGTTGAATGGTCTCGGTACCGGCGCCAAGTGGTATGGCGGAGTGCTTGCAGGCAACGGCCTCATCTACGCCATTCCCGCGTACACTGCGACGGCGCTCATCATCGATCCAGCAACCAACACCACAGACATGCTCATTGTCGCTGAAGCGACAAGCTCACGCAAGTGGATCGGGGGCGTGCTTGCTCCGAGTGGCAATGTGATTGGCGTCCCATACAGCTCACCATCCGTCCTCGTCATTGATCCAACCACCAACACCAGTGACACAACCTCTGTCAGAGATCTTGCTGGTTCTAGCAAGTGGTATGGTGGCGTGCTGGCCAACAATGGCCTCATCTATGGCGCTCCAAGCCAGGCAAATACGGTGCTCGTCATCGATCCTGGCTGCTGACTGAGGAGATGGCGCCAGAGCATCACCTGCTTCCATCTTCTTGTGGTGACGTTTGATATGCCACCCACACACCCTTTGTTTCTTGGTTCGTCTTGTGGGTCTTCAATCCCTCACAGCGTTCTCTTCCTCTGCGCTTCTTTCGTTCGCCTATGGCTTGCTGTCCGATGGTGTTTCTGTGAGGCCTCGAATGAATTCCTTCTCCGGCGTTCAGCCTATTCGCTTTCTTTCATCGTGACTTGTTTTCGTCAGTCGAAAGCTCGTGCCGCGCTGTGTTGCTGTTGGTTCTTGTCACCTCCTGTCTGTGAAGGTCCGCCTTTGTCATCATAAACTCGACCAGCATAACATCTACTTGCATCACCACTGACACGACAACGAGCGTTCAATCTCTGACGGACCCGTTGGTTGTTGTTGTGTAATCGTGCAGTGGATGAAATGTAAGCACCTGGACAGACGAGGACCATTCAAAAGACGTCAAAACCAGGGCGTGTTGTGGCACTCTGCACATCAACACGAGCGATCCAGCAAGCCAAGCGCGCGCGAACACCCACCCACAATCCACACACAGACACACAGACACACAGACACAGAGACACACACACACACACACATAGACACACATGCACACACACAGGCACCCACACCCACCCACACACACACACAGACACACACACCACACACACACACACACACACACACACACACACACACACACACACACACACACACACGCACACCCACACAATTCACGCGTCACGCGACGATGCGCTTGGTGACGGCTGGGGTTGCGGAGAAACCACCGCAGCAGTGCACGACAACGTAGTGGCCATCCACGCGCGAGATGAAGATGGTGTCGCGGTAGTTGACGGTGTTGAAGTGGGCGATGGAGGAGGCAAACATGCCTGTGCCGTTCCACACGGTCAGCTGGAAAGAGCCCTTCTGCGCTTGGCCAGCGGAGATCACGGCGGAGGCGTTGGAGCCGAGCGACTGGTTGCCGTACGTTTTCACGTACACGCCGTCGTCAGAGGCATATGTGCCCACGCAAATTTCGCCGTCCACGTCACCGGTGACAACGTAGCACCAGTTGTCTGCCGGGCCGTGACCGACTCGGAAGAGGGCACTCACGCCTTGGCCGACCAGCCAGCTGCCAGCGCCAACGACCAAGCCACCCGCAGCCCCCGCTGGTCCACCGACCATGGCGCCGGCTGCAACGGCGGTGAGAATGCCACCGGCGGCGCCGGCAGCGGTGACGATGCGCTTATCCTCGACGCCGAGGGCGCTGGTGAGCTCTGAGGCGGCAAACTCTGCGACGACAGAGGCAATGCCCACGGCCGGGTTGCTGAGGGCCTCGAACGCGACAAAGCCGCCGCGCGCAGCCATGAGGGACGCGGTTTCCTCGATGATGATGACAGCGCCGCGGCGGCCGCCCTGCTGCACTGCGCCGCCGATGGAGGCCTTGACAACCTCTCGTGCAACGACGTAGCGCAGCGCGGCCACGGTGGCCTCGTCGACGCCGGCCTGGATACCCTTCTGCACGAGCTTCTTCACCTTGTCATCGCCCGGGATTGGCAGCTTGCCGTCCTTGTCGAGGCCTTTGAGGAGGTTGTTGATGTTTTGGATGTGCTCATCGGACATGAGCTTTTCCAAGGCATCGTTCATCTCCTTGATGGGGAACGACTGCCACTTCTCAAAGTAGTGCAGGGCCCACACGGCGGCGCGCGCATCGTCCTCCTCAATCGCACAGATCTTCTGCGGCGTCGTCATGGTGGCTGTGCAGTGCGTGTGTGTGTTGTGTGTTGTGTGTCGACGTGTGGGTCTGTAGGTGCGAGCACTAAATGGGTGCGTGTGTTGTGATCAGGTGTGGGCGTGTCTGTCGGTCTATCGGTGGAGTGTTGAAATGCACTACTTGCCGACACGTCACTGTCACAAGACGCAGCTCCTCACAACAACAACAAGCAAGAGGAGTGCAACGTTGCGCGGTGGCGTTGATGATGATGAGGAAAGCGACACCATAAATTTCCAAGCGCGCCAAACCGCTCGCCACCACTGCACCGACTTCGATATGGACAAGCTGATGGCGAGTGCTGCTTCGTCCTCGAAGCGCAGCAAAGGATCGACCCTCGCAGAGAAGCCATGGGTGGAGAAATAGTGAGTTGTGTGTGTGTGTGCATGCATGTGTGTGTCTATGTGTACGCATGCATGTGTGTGTCTATGTGTACGCATGCATGTGTGTATGTATGTGCATGTGAGTGAGTTCTTTGTGCCGTCTCAACTCGATCAACTCATCAACTCAACTTCACACTCACAACCACGCATGGCAACCCTCCCCCCTTCCCCCCCCCCCTCTTTTCAACACACTCAGTCGCCCGAGGACAACGGCCGATGTCGCGCACCAGAGCCAAGTCATTGCCACACTTCGTGCCACCATCTCTGGCGCAGACGTACGTGGCACGACGAGAAGAGGGGAAGAGGAGGGGAGCTTGCTAAATCACTGAGCTAATTTACTGAACTGGCTCACCGGACTGGATTAACTGACTGACTAACTCCCTGACTCAGTGGACTGACTCAGCTACATGAGCTCTTAGTCGATTGGTGCTTTACCACACTGGTGTGGCTCAAGCCTGCACTGAACTGACCTGTTCCCGCCCAAGTCCTCACCCATGTTGTTTTTGTTTTGTGGTGTAGATGCCACACTTGCTCTTCTACGGGCCTCCTGGCACGGGCAAGACCTCCACCATCCTTGCGCTCTCACGCGAGCTCTTTGGGTGAGGTGCCTGTGCGTGCGCGTGTGTGCGCGTGTGATGGTTCTCGTTTTTTGAGTGTGATGTCATCCAGCGTTCCGTCCTGGTCACCATCAACTCACCCACCCATGCACACACACACACACCCATGCTCGCACACACACACACACACACACACACACACACACACACACACACACACACACACACATATACACGCATGCACGCATGCATGATGCGAATCGCCGTCTTTGCTTGGTCCCTGGCAGACCGCAGCTGATGAAGGAGCGCGTGCTTGAGCTGAACGCCTCTGACGAGCGTGGCATCAGCGTTGTCCGAGAGAAGGTAAGCTGCTGTTTGACATCACGTTTATGTCCAAGGCTCCACCATCGCCTTGTTCGTTGCTCACATGCCTTGCTTCGTGCGTATGTGTGTGTGTGTGTGTATGTCGAACCCTGTTACAGATTAAGACATTTGCATCCACATCCGTGAGCAAAGGCGTGGACGGCTACCCCTGCCCTCGTAAGGATACACACACATAAGAACACGGGGTTTGCACGTGTGCATTTCGAGTTGGTTTGTGTGTTTGCGCACTGCATGCGTACACACACACACACACACACACACACATCATCCACGCGTGCGTCATGTGAACGTTGACTACTTCTTCATACACACCACGTGTCTGCTGCTGTCCTCACGTGTGTCATCTCAACACCGCAGCGTTCAAGATTATCATCTTGGATGAGGCCGATGCCATGACCGCAGCAGCGCAGTCAGCACTCAGGTGTGCGTGCGTGTGTGTGCGTGTGTGTGCGTGTGTGTGTGGAGAGGAGGAAGAAGCCGAAAGTTTGTGCGTGTGGCGTTGCTTCACGTACTCACGCACACACACACATGCATGCACACATGTATGCACACATACACATGTACACGTGGTTTTTCTTTTACCTCTCCACCCTCCATCTCACCTCACTGCTCTGACTTGAATTGGTTCGAACAGGCGAACAATGGAGAAATACAGCAACGTGACGCGGTTTTGTCTCATTTGCAATTACATCAGCAGGTGCGAAACGGAGAGCACAGTGGCGTCAATGTGAATCAATGCATGGGATACACGTACAGACATATACACGCACAGACAGATACAGATACAGACACACACACCCACACCCACACCCACACATACACACACACACACAGACACACACTCTCTTTCACAAATCACTCCCTCCCTCACCACCATGTCCCACCTCAACCTGCCCCTGCTGCAGAATCATTGAGCCGCTTGCCTCGCGCTGCGCCAAGTTCCGCTTCAAACCCTTGTCACGCGACACGCTCGTCGGCCGTCTCCAGCACATCCGCGACAAGGAGGATGTCCAGTGCTCCGATGAGGTGGGCCATGCAGGGTAGCCGCGGGTGTGAGTGTGTGTGTGAGTGTATGTGTTGTGTGTGTTTGAGTGTGTGAGTGTGTGAGTGTGTGTGTGTGTGTGTGTGTGTGTGCGTGTGTATGTGTGTGTGTGTGGCGCATCGTGTTGTGCGTTGTCTGCTCCCACTGCTCTCACTGCGGCACTCACTCATATCCTCACCCACACACATGTTCATACGCGCATTAATTTCCATCCCACCCCCTCTTCACCCATCCCTCTTGCGATGCAGGTGCTCGCTCGCATCATTGATCTTGTCGACGGCGACATGCGACAGGCCATCACATTCTTGCAGAGCGCATCCAGGTCCGAACATGTGTGTGTTTGCGTTTGCGTTTGTATGTGTATGCGTGTTTGTATCTTTGGTGTGATGTGAATCGTTCTGGCTCTCATGAACTATGCACCACACACACACACACACACACACACACACACACACACACACACACACACACACACACACACACACACACACACACACACACAAATAACCACACACATGCACAAAATTACGCACATATTTTACATACAGGCTGTGCGGGTCTTCTGGCGTTGAGGTCCACCATGTGGAGGAAATTGCCGGTGCAATTCCAAATGCCGTCATGACAGATCTTCTTGACAAATGCAGACAAGGAAGCTTTGAAAACGTGCGTGGTTGTCTGTATTGCGTCTGTGTGAATTGTGCATGTGATTTTCCGTGTGAATCGGGTGCCTTGCGTTGTCAGCGTGCTGTCTTGTTGCGTACTCTGTGTATGTGTATGTGCGTGTGCTTTCGTGCTGGCATCACCACCCACCTTCTCATGGCATCGCTCTCACTATCACACCCACCATCCTCACCACCCGTCACGCATTCTTCGTCACCAACAGCTGCAAGAAACAGTGCAGTCGATTCTGCTTGACGGCTTCTCTGCAGACACCATCGTGGAGGAGGTGCGGACACACACACACACACACACACACACACACACACACACACACACACACATGTTGTCTTCATGCCTTGTATTACCACCGCCACGCCACATCCCCCTTCCCCGTTTGGTTCGAGTGCTCACCAACTACGTGCACCACCACCACCACCACCACCACCATCATCATCATCATCGCACTTGCGGTCTCCAGCTGCTCCAGCTCGTGGTGGAAGCTGACGATATTTCCGACACGCAAAAAGCGGACATTGCACACAAACTGGCGCAGGTGGGATGGGTAATTCTTGTGCAAGCATGTGGGCACTCATTGGACACACATACACACACACACACACACACTCTCTCTCTCTCTCTCTCACACACACACACACACACACACACACACACACACACACACACACACACACGCAACAGGTGGACAAGCGGTTGGTTGACGGCGCGGACGAAGAGCTGCAGATTATGGACCTGTGTGCAACCACCATGCAAGTCCTCTCCTAGACCACCACACCACACCACACACACACACACACACACACACACACACACACACACACACACACACACACACACACACACACGACATGTGCATGCATGTTTGCCATCGCTTCCTTGAGCCATGCTGCCCGTTCCAACCTTCCCATCAGCTATGGTCTGTTCAATTTCGTTTGTAACTGTCGCAGTACAATCTAGACGCAATTCAATCACTCGACAAGTACACACACACACACACACACACACACACACACACACACACACACACACACACACACACACCCTATTTACACCCTCTCGTCAGCAAGAAGTGGCTGTGTGAGCGTCGTCGTCGTCGTTGTTGTTGTTGGTGCTGTTGTCGTGTGAACAGTATCATCAACACCAACACCTTTACCAACCCACGCGTCACCACTACCATCCCCATCACCAGCACTACCACCATCATCACCATGGCCACGGCGCCAGTTACGGGGCGTGACGAGTGCGCCCACAACACCGCGTGCCCGCCGGCTTCTGCTGGCGTTGCTGTGCCAGTGGCGCTTCAGTCCCAGCCCCTGCTCCTTGCGCGGCTGCTGCTTGTTGTGTCCCCGCCCGTTCCACACCTTGCTGGTGAAGTATGACATGACCGTGGTGACGTCGCTGTCGCTCAGCCCCCGCTCGCTGTCAACAAAGAGGCCCTGGATGGCAAACAGCTGCTTCATTGTCTCGCACACCGGCACGTTCTTGTTCGTCTTGCTCGGCCCGTTCGGAAAGCGGTCATAGTCAAAGTTGAACAGCTCACCACCACCAGCACCACACCCACGCTTCATAGCCCCGCCACCATCGCCGCCACCACCACCACCCACCTGATGACTACCCACATCACTGCTCATACCAGCACCCACATCACTGCTCATACCACCACCGCCACCACCACCGCCACCCTGCACGAAGAGGGGGAAAATACCAATTCGGCGCTTGCGATGCAGCGAGAGCGCCGTCTCGTACTCAAGCAGCACGTTGTCTGGTTTGCTGTCGAACACGCTCACCCGCTCGATGTTTGCCACGCCGGCGTTGGAGACAATGGGCACAAACATGCACGATCGATGCACTCCGCTGAGAAACTTGAGCTGCCAGTTGTCGCCAACCTCAATCGAGAGCCGGTCCCAGAACACGACCAGCGGCTGCCCGTCCACCGTGCATGCCTGAAGCGCACGCACCACCCGCTCAGCAAGTGGCGCATCTGTTGCCTGGCGATAACTCACAAACACGTGGTACGACTTCTTCAGGCGCTCGCGCTGGATCCACCAGGCGAGCAGCACGACGGCAGCGGCGGCAAACGCAGCGCCAATGAGACCATCGCGTAGGCGGGCCGGGTCAACACCGCGCGACACAACGGCGCGGTCCTTCTCGCAGAAGCGGCCGGCAAAGGCAGACCGGCACTGGCAGTGGAAGGCGTTGTCGTCCGGTGTGTCCGGGTTGTGGTTCACGCACGTTCCTGCGTTGAGGCACGTGGAGGGCCCGCAGTTGGCCACGGCAAGGGTCACGTGCGCCACAGCTTTGCTCTCCAGCGTGAACAGATCCGTGCCGACGATGGTGAAGTCAAACCGGCCCGCCTCAAGCAGCGTGCCCTCCAGCCAGCCGTCCGCGCGCGTCGTGTTGGCGATGCCTGCAGGCAATTCTCCATGCACGGCGAAGGTGATATTGGTGGGGATGTACGGGTTTGGCTGCACGTCCAAGTCCACGAAGGGCAGCGGCTGGTTCACAGCCAAGGTGTCCAAGACAACATCGCGGGCGGGGACGGGAGCGTCGAAGTCCACAGCATCAGGTAACACCTGGCCCTGCACGGCAAACGCAGACAGCACAACAGGCAGCTCAACGGTCACGTGCGAGGTCGTCACCGCTGCTGCTGTTGTTGTTGTTGTTGTTGTTGTTGTTGCCGAGGAAGGTCCTTGGCTGCCACCATCTCCATCAACACCACCATTGCCACCATCGCTACCATCGCTACCAGTGTCACTGCCACCGCTGCTGGTGACGAGGGTGAGGTTGAAGGGAAACAGGTTGGGCCCCTGCTCGGGGGTGGATGGGAGGTTGCTCAGGTCTGCTGTGAACTCACCACCTTGCAGTCGCTTGTTCTCCAGGATGATACCGGCCTGTGCCGAGAAGATGGTGCGGAACACAACCACATCGCTCAGCGGCGTGCACGTGCTCGTGCCAAAGTAGCCCTCTGCGCAATCACATCGCAGAACGACGGCGCGGGTGTCGGGGTCGAGCCCGCGCACACACACGGACGGGTTGTGCAGCATGCTGAACATCTGTGTGCGCTCGTGCTGCAAGAGTGCGCTGAGGGGAGCAGAGACGGTGGCAAAGTTGTTGTTGTGCAGGGCGATGGTAGTGAGGTTGGTGATGCGCAGCCAGTCCCCCGTGATGTCCGTGAGCGCGTTGTGGTTGAGCAGGATGATGTTGAGGGCGGGCAAGTTGAAGAAGAGGGACGCGTCGATCGTGGTGAAGGTGTTGTTGCTCATGAACAGCCATTTGAGGTTGGGCAGGCCCTGGAAGACCGTGGGCGGCAGGGCGGACAGGCGGTTGCTGTTGACGTACAGTCCAACAAGCTGCGACAGCCCGCGAAACGTCTCCTCGTGCAGGGAGGTGAGCATGTTGAAGTTGAGGTCGATGCCCTGGAGATGGGTGAGCCCCCGGAACACGGTTGGCGGGACGGAGGTGATACGATTGCCTGCAACACGCAGGCTGGTCAGGCGGCGCACGGGCCTGAACACGTTCTCCGGCAGCGCTGGGATGGCGTTGTTGGCGAGATCCACAAACCGCAGACCCGGACCTGCAGAAGCGAACACGTTTGCAGGCAGCGCCGTGATGCGGTTGCTGTTGAGGGAGAGGTCGGTGAGCGCGGGCATGGCACCGATAAACGCGGCCGTAACGGCGTCAAGGCGGTTGCCAGCGAGGCCGATGGAGGACAGCAGCGTCAGCGTGCGCAGGACGTCCACGATGGTGGCGGTGGTGGCAAAGCGGTTCCGTGACAAGTCGAGCTCCTGCAGCGATGCAGCCAGGCTGCCGCTGAAGGTGGACGCGTTGAGGGAGTGCAGGAGGTTGCCGCGAAGGTTGAGGCCCTTCAGCACGGGCATGCCCACAAACACGTCGTCCGCCGGCAGGGTAGCGATGGCGTTCTCGCTGAGCAGGAGCTGGTCCAAGCTGGAGAGGCCCTTGAAGTAGCCTGCAGCGAGGACGCTGATGCGGTTTTGGCGCAGATCGAGCTGGGCCAGGCGCGTCTGGTGAACAAACGGGTTGCCGTTGAGGTGTGTGAGGTTGTTTGCGCTCAGGGACAAGCCTTCCAAATCTGGGAGGTGCTGCAGCCACGCGGCGGAGACAGCTCGCAGGTTGTTGTTGCTGAGGTCAAGGGACGCCAGCTTGGGCACGGCGTGCTGAAACGCGGCCGCCTCCATGTCGGACAGCTGGTTGTAGCTCAGGTCCATTGTCGTGAGCGCGGGCAGGACCACTTGTGTTGCGGTGCCAATCACGCGCGTGATCTTGTTGTTGGAAAGCACGAGCGTCTCCAGCGCGGTCAACTGCGCTTCCCCGGCAGGGAACTCAGTCCAGTCAAGCGAGGTCAGCTGGTTGTCGCTCACGTCCAGCTGGCGCAGCTTGGGGCACTGCCGCAAAACGCCTGTGGGCAGCGCAGTCAGGCCTTGGTTCGAGCAATCAAGCATCGTCGTCCTTGCACCCGCATCGCACTCACACGCCGCAGCCACCGGCGACAGCAGCAGCAGCAACGCAAACAACACCATGGTGGGGATGGCAGAACAAGCGGTCATGATGGCAGAACAAGTGGTGCTGTTGATGTTGATGGTGAGGAGGTGTTTGCGACCACCACCACCACCACAACACCTCATCATCTCGGAGTCCTTGTGCAGAGTTTTTGTGGTGTCGGGAACAGTTGCTTTGAGCGGACGCTGCTGATGTGAGACGCGAACTGAACGTGCGTGTGGAGCTTTGTGCTTGAGTGTTGGGCTTCCTTGTGTTCACCACTCCTTCCGTCCGCCCGCTCGCGCGTGCGTGTGCGATGGAGGCGCAGGAGCGACAGCGGTGGTGGCACGGGGTGCGCGTGTTGGGGTTGTTGTTGTGTGTGTACATCCTCAATCAAGCGGATCGGCAGCTGTTGCCAATCTTGATTTCAGCGGGCCTGAAATGCGGCAACGGCACCACGTCCCACCACCACAATGGCAGCGGCAGCAGCAATGGCAGCAGCAATGTACACGGCTTTGGTGGTGGGGTTGAAGCTATCGCCAGCACTGCCATTGCGGCTGCTACACCTGCGAACGACTGCTTGTCGTTTTCCGACTTGTTGGAGGGCCTCATCAAAGGACCCGCATTCACCGTGGTCTACACGGTGTTTGGCGTCTCTCTGTCGTACTTGGCCGATCACTACAACAGGACCTATGTCCTCGCCGCTGCCGTCGGTGTGTGTGTGTGTGTGTGTGGGGGGGGGGGGGGGGGGGTTGGTGGGATGTGGGGATGGAAGAAGTGTGCGGAAGGGAGGGAGGGGGATGGGGTGTAGTCGCGCGTACTTTGGTGTGCGTGCGTGTGCATACGTGGGTGTTGTTTGGGTGGTAGGTGTAAGTGACTCGTGACGATTCTCACCACTGGTCCTGTTTCTCGCCGAATAACAGGCATATGGTCGCTTGCCACGTGCCTATCATATGTTGTCAAGGCTTTTTACCAGCTCAGTGAGTTCACCATCGCATTCGTTTGTGTGTTTGGGTTTGTGTGTGTGCGTGTGTCTGTCTCATTCGCTTTAGCTGTCATTCTCCTCATGCGCTTTCTCTCACGCACACACACACACACACATGCGCACATTGACAGTGATTCTGCGTGTGGTGCTTGGGATTGGCGAGGCCGTGTGCAACCCCGTCGCCTACAGCCTCATTGCCGACTGTTTCCCCCTCAAATCGTGCGCGCACCTCTGCAACGACTGCGTGCACCACTGTGCTGACTGCGTGCACTGCTCAGCCCAATTCATTCACCATATCACGGCACACATGTTGCTCATGAAGCGGTGGAAATGGTTGCGGTGCAGGCGAGCGACGGCGCTGTCTGTGTATCATCTCGGCGTGTACATTGGCAACGCTCTGGGATACGTCGCAGGTGCGCATCTCTGTGGTGCTGGGGGATCATTTGTGCGCATGCGAGTGAGTGCGTGCGTGTGGATGAGATTCTGACACAGGGATCACTGCCACTCATTTGACATCATGTTACGCCCTGTGTGTGTGTGTGTGTGTGTGTGTGTGTGTGTGTGTGTGTGTGTGTGTGTGTGTGTGTGTGCGCGTGTTTGCACTGTCATGCAAAACCGCAGCCTCTGCGTATTCGGTGGTCGGCTGGCGCCTGACCTTTGTCATCTTCGGGGCACCGGGATTTCTTTGTGCGTCAGTGTCAATGGCGCTGATCTATTGGGGTGTGTACGCGTGCCCTGCTTGCCATGCACCTGTAGCTGCTGCTCACATCCTCCACTCTTTGTGTGTGTGTGTGTGTGTGTGTGTGTGTGTGTGTGCGTGTGTGTGTCTATCTGTGCCCAGTTGCGCTGTTGTTTGCGACCGTTGTGCGTGAGCCTGAGAGGGGCGCGACGGAAATTGGATCCGCTGCCCATGAGGACGGGCCGCCAAAGGCATACAACCTCATCTCCCTCTTCAGGTCCACATGCTGTTCGCGTGTGGGTATCTGAACACTTGACTGTCTCTTTGTCCTCACAGCACGTGCATGTGCAACATCACCACGTTTGACATGTGCGTGCGCGTGTGTGCGTGTGAGTATCTAAACACTTGATTGTCTCTTGTGTCTGCCTGCACTTGTGTGTGTGTGTGCCCTGGTAATTTGCGACAGGCACGCCAAGGGCACGCCTGCGTTTTACACGATTGTCGCTGCATCCTCCATTCGTCAGATCGCTGGCCTGTCCCTCGGCGCCTACCTCCCGTCCTTCTTCAAGGACACGTTCAACCTCGAGTGCGTATGATGATGACGTGCAACTGTGTGTGCGTGTTTGATGATGACGGTGATGATGATGATGTGTGTGTGTGCGTGCGTGTGCGTGCGTGTGCGTGCGTGTGTGTGTGCGTGTGTGTGTGTGCGTGTGTGTGTGTGTGTGCCTTTGCCTGGCGCTTGTGGTTTGTTCGTTCTCGCTCATCTTGCTCCTTCTTACTCACTGTTCTTTCGCACACACTTTCGCGGCAGTGATTCTGAGTACAACCACACGATGCTGGTTGTCGGGATGATTGTGCTCACGTGCGGCAGCGCTGGCGCCATGCTCGGTCTGCACTCGAGACGGTGTTATTTGTTGAGGGGCTGGAGATGCACTGAGGCGGTGAGGGGTGACCTGAGGCATTCATCATGTGCTCTGCAACTGCAGCTGCAGTACGCCACTTTTTTGATTCTCACTCCCTCACACACACACACACACACACACACACACACTCCTCACACACACACACACACACACACACACACACACACACACACACACACACACACACACACACTTCACAGACACGCACGCTCACACGTGGCCTGATATTATATTTTTTTTACTGAGGAAAATTGTGCAAGAGGAGGAGCTGCCTCGTCCAAAAA